ATGGATTTTAAGCGTCGTTTCATAGCTGTCGATGAGAGATGGATCCACCACTTGACTCCAGACACAAAAGAACAATCCAAACAATGCACTATAGGTCAAATGACCACTTTTTCTGTGCAAAATTCATAGCGGCAACAAAATCATAGTATGCGTCATGAAATTTGGCCCAGCCGATTTTTTGTTACTAGAATTGTTATTGTTGAATTTGGAAGAAATCGGTTCAGATTTGGATATAGCTCCATATATATATTTCATCCGATTTCAGGTTTAAGATGCACCAAATCGGTAATATACAACGGATTGCGATGAAATTTGGTTTGTACGATTTTTGAGTCTGCAAATAAGTGTGTTGAATTTGAAGAAATCGGTTCAGATTCAGATATAGCTCCAATATATATGTTCTATCCGATTTCACAACTAAGTAACTCCAAACCCACAAAATACATCCGGTTATCGTAAAATTTAGTTTGCATGTTTTTTATAGGTTAAAACAACTCAGAAAAATTTGGTTCAAATCGGGTCAGATTTAGATATAACATCCATATATATGTTCCCTCCGATTTCACGTTTAAACCACGCCAAATCACAATATACACCCGATCATAACGAAAATCAGAAATGTCTCTGCAAATTTGAATCTGATCGGATCTGATTTAGATATAGCTCTCATATATATCTGTATCTATCCCGCCCTTTTGAAAAGTTATATTTTAAAAGGAAAGCTAGAGCTTCATCCGTGGAAAGTGGATCAGTCTCTTGGGGTGTCACGTTTCTCAGTTGAAAGCACCTCTTTTACCAAATTCAAAGTTTTTATTAGGTGCCGCTTTATTTTGAATACAGTAAACCCCGCTTAATTACCTCAGTGAAAATTTCAAGATTTTTGAGTAATTATCCGTGGAAGGTAATTAAGCGTAGACGGTTATTTACCTCGCTAGGGTAATTATCCGTGGACCCCGATTAATTACCCAGCAAGGGTAAATATCGGTGGACATTGGTTTTTTGTTTTTTCTTTCTTTTTTGCTTGAGATATTAACATGAGCTTTAGTTTGATAGACAAAGATGTATTTCTGGGAGACATTTCACGAAAACTTTCAAAACAATAGATTTTATGTGCACATGTGTGGCAAGTGCACTAGCAAACGTAAGTAATTTTAAGTAAAGTTGCCAGATTTAAAAAATACATTGGGTAATTACATGGGACAGATTTGAAGGTATGGTTACTTTGGGGTAGGTTATTTAGGGGCAAATAAATGAAATGGGTAATTAAAAGGGGGTAATTAAACGTGCTATTTTGTAAGGGATTGTACTGAAAATAACTGGGTATTTCGAAATCGGATTAATTAACCATGGAAGGTAATTAAACGTGGAGGTAATTAAGCGGGGAATACTGTAATTCTTAGGCAAAAAATGTAAATCCGAATATAGCCTGTCATTGTCTTTGGAAACATTCATGTTTCTGTGAAATTTTTCACAATTGTGCGCTTATTTTAAGCAATATAAATGAATTGGTTTCTTTAAATATTTCTCTCTTTCATCCGAAATGTTGTCGACATCAATTTTGCTCATTTCATTGTTTTAAAACAGCATCAGTTTTTTATTTTCGCCATATTTCAAATATAAATTATAGTATATTATAGTTATATAGTTATCACTTAATGTATGTGCAAAATTTCAAAGGGGTCATATTGGGTCATTTTTTTAAAAGCTTACTGAAAATTAATATATCAAATTAAGTCTTCATAGGCTAAAGGGTTATTTTCAAGAATAGAGTCGCAAACATTTTTAATTTAATATACATATGCTCTTTTGTATATATTTTCCATTTTACACTAATTAATTATTGTAAACACAATCGAAATAACACACACTCAAAGTTGACTAAGCACCACTGAAATATAAGCATATTTATAGAACAAATTATATTGAGCGACTTGCACGGCCAGATGTATGACGGTACTTTATATTTAGCACTAATAAATATCACGTGTCTCTATTTTGGAGTGTTCTAAAAACAGAAACAACAACAACTCGTGAAAAGCGACACTTTGATATTTTTCAATTTTGCACAGAAAAACCGGTCATTTGATCCAATTCAATTGGATGGAAAACTACCATCCAACTGAATTGCCTACGTTTTTTGTGATTTCAAAGGTATTTTATGGATTTACTATCTGCAAAAGAGTAAAACAATAAATTCAGAGTATTATTGCAAGCTTTTGGATCAATTAAATTTACAAATTCGTGAAAAACGTCCTGATTTACAACACAAAAAATAATTTTTCATCAAGATAACGCACAAGAAGAAATAGGGAAAAATAGTAAGATTTACTTTGGATTTATTTCTAATAAAAATGTTAGATCAAACGCTTCAGCTGTTAATCGCAATGAAATTCTGCGTACGTCCCTGTTATTTTGTGCACATTTTTAAACGTTCCTACCAAAAATTATCAATATCGATCGATGTATTGAATTAACCAACATATGGTAGAGGCTATAAAAAGTTCGGCCCGGCCAAACTTTACAATTTTTCACTTGTTTTTAACTACAGGGTGCTTCAAAAAAATGTATACACACTTTAAACTATTGTAGTTTTCCCGCTCTACAAGGCTAATGTTATATTTCTTTGCCAGGTGCCCTTTATGTTATTTTATCAGTTGGAATTTGTAATATCAACATGGTGAGATTCAAGCAGTGTGTAGAGACATCTCATTGGACGTTTTGATACGATGAACTATAGGTCAAACAGACCATTTTACTGGCCAAAAGTCGAATTTAACACATTGTCTTATCACTTCTTTTGAGTTAGAATCGAGTAAGGAACACTTCAAAACAAATAAAAATTAATTTTGTTTTTGCATAATCACTTATACCGTTATATGGCAAGCTGTCAAACGTGAATTATTAAAATATGATAAAAAATTATTCATTTGGTATGTACTTGTTAAGATTTAAAGTGGAAATAAAATATAAGTATAACTATAAGTAAAGAATTAATAAGAAAGTATTCCATATTTTTTATCATAAACATTGTATTAAAACAAGCGTAACTTTAGATTGATCGAAGGAATTTTTAAACTTTAAGGTTATGAAAGCATTAAATCCGTGGGCAACTTTTGGCAATTGAAATAAAAATTGATATTTGTTCATTGAACCGTCCTTAATTTAAATAACCTAATGTGGTTTTGCGGATTTGTGCGGTTTTTTAATTATTACCATTTTTGTATGTTAAACCATTTACCGAAATACTGATTGATTTGAATCTGAAATAACTGGAGTAGAGGTAAATCTTATATTCCGCCTCAAAATTATTTTAATTTCATTATTACGTCAGTTTTCAGTACATTTAAACATATTTCGAAATTATTGTTATGCTTGTTAGCTCTCCATGACTGCTACTGTCCATAAGGTACAAATTCATTCGACGCAGATAATGGAAAATTGTGTACCCCTAATGGAATTCTTGGAAAAGATGCTGCTGAAGCTAGGCATAAATTGTATAATGCATTTTAGATATATTTTTACTAGAGCCTTGGATACATTAGATCCTTTAATATCATCAATTAGCTTAATCAAACGCATGCAACAGCGAAAACGTTAAAGCTTGAAATGCTAAACCAGTCGAATTTAAATCAAAGGTGAAGATAGATCACATGATGAGAGCGATGAGTTCAATTAAGACGGACTACAACTTATATAAATATTCTTAATGACTTAGTTTTAGAAAATTAAACGTACTTCATTTAAATAATATATGAAATCAGAGACGTAGCAAAGTTGAGGTGTCCTTGGTGGTCGACAACCCCGTTTTTTGCTTACATTAACTTTTGTTATGCAAGAGAATTTTTTTCATTTTTTTAACAAACACCAAACATATCACAACCACCCCCTGTTTCGAAACATTGCATACGACCCTGTATATAATGATATTCCATAATTTTATTTATTCACAATAATAGGAATATATATAAATAAAATGTTATCAAATATATAAATTAATTTATTTTTATCCCCAAAGGCTTAATACATTAATAACCTAAAGGGTTTATTTCTAAAAAAAATTCCATTATTTTTTCAGAATGTTGAGACAGCTATTCAGGTTGAAATACCATTATTTTTCAATTTTATGACTTTTGGCCACAAAAATTGCCAGTTTGACCTATAGTGCGATGTACAGAATCAGTGGTGACTCGTACTCAGAATTGTATTGATGCTGCAGGTCACCAATTTGAACAGTATTAATATTTGTAATTTGTGTTTCATTTCCATTGGACTTTTAACTTTCTATTTTCCTTAAATTGAACTTTGTAGAACGGTAAAAAATTTTTTTATGGAAGTTCAAAGTGTTTATAATATTTTTGAAGCACCCTGTATAATAATAAAAAATTCGTAAGTATTTGTCCGTAAAAAATTAGTCCGTATCACATGGTTTATTTTATTCTTTAATTTCTTTGTGATACTGCTATTATGTCGACTATGGAAAATATTAAAATAAGCGGCTCCTGAGTTCCAAAGAAATCCATTCCATTGTACTCACATCCATAATTACTAAACCATGTGTACACATTTTAAGGATGAAAGGACGGAATACTTTTTTTGTTGATCGTTTATTTAAAAAATATATATGTAAAGCAAAAAATATGTGCATATATAATTACTAAATATATGTATTTATTTTTTATGAAAATAAAAAATAAATGTTGACCATGTTTTAACTGTTTGTTGTTTTTAATCAAATATTGCTAGCTTTGTTGTTTATCATTTACGGTGCAGGTGGGGAGGGAGTGTTGCGATGAATGTCGGAGGTCCCAAAGATTACAACATAAATAGAAACTATTAGTTCTGTGTCGACGATGTTTTTATTATTGTGGGTTAAAAAAGTTCATAAGTGCCGCACATGATTCCGGTACTTGATAAAGCTTTGGGGACTGTAGCTGTACATTAAGTTGTCGTCTTATCTCTCTCTCCCTCCCCGTGTTTCGTTCGTACACAACCAACTTGCTGCTATTTAAATAGCAGCCAACTAAACCTCATTTGTTGCTGCTGGTGCATATGTATTTGTGGTCGGTTCGTAGTCTTTGGTTAGAATAAATTTATATAGCACAAAGTAAAGTATGGCTCCCAGCAAAAGTTCACTAATACCAATCAGAGTCACAAGTGCCCATCCGGGTATAGCCAAACCAGCTGCATTCACATAGTGGCGTAACAAAAATATGCAAAAGAAAAATGAGACAAATAGAAAATATAATCAATGTTTAGAGAGCATAATATTATGAATTATGTTTTGTTTGTTTTAGTTTTCATTCTCGGTTGTGGTAACAGAAACAAACATAAATTCATTAAATTGTGGATGTTTTAGAATGGAATTTATACTCACTGAAATATCTGCGGGTTAAGGTACGGCGACCACGCATTACACGACGTACGGCTTCCGTTTCCTGAGTGCAACATGCGAATAGAACTGCAAGCAAATGAAACAACAGAGAGTTTAATTTAAATAAAACTAATAAAATCGGACGTAGAGGTTATTGGACAATTTAGCAATACGTTGGGTACCAACTTGCAGAGCTAAATTGATTACGAATGCTGATTGACAGCTGAGGTATTACCGTTTGTAACTCATCGAAATAATAATTTCCGATCCTATAAAGTATATATAATCTTGATCAGCGTAAAATTGTATGACGATTTAGCCATGTCCGTCTGTTTGTTGTAATCACTCTAGCGTCTAAACGACTTGAGACGTTTAGGCATAGCTCCCATTTAAGGGTATTCCCCAATTTGCTGTATTTGGGGAATTTTAAGCGCGTTTTGCAGCTGAATTCGCTGAAATTTGGTACATAGTGTTATTATTGGGTACCAAATTTTCCCATTAAAAATATAAATATAGGTCCACTTATATAGCGGTACTCCCAACTTTCAGTATTTTTGGGGTTTTGGCTGTAATTTCGCTTCACATAAAATTATAAATATAGGTCAATTTGTTCAAATAGCCCCCATATAAGCGTACCCTCCAATTTTCGGTATTTTGGGGTTCGTCCACTTTTTCTGGTAGCCCCCATATAACGGTACCTCCTAATTTTAGTATTTTGGGGGTTTTGATCGTATTTTTCCGCCGAAATAGCTGTAATTTAGTATTTTGAGTTCTTAATAGGTCCAAATCTCTCCACAAAAAATTATGAATATAGGTCCACTTTTTTCGGATAGCCCCCATATAAGGGTACCCCCAATTTTCAGTATTTTGGGTGTTTTCAACCGAATTTGCTGCAACTTGGTATTTTGTAGTCTTATATGGTAACAAATCTCCCACCCAACAATTGTTAACATTCACCCCTTTTTGGGGTAGTCCCCATATAACATCCTTTTTATACCCTCCACCATAGTATGGAGGGTATATTAATTTTGTCATTCCGTTTGTAACTCATCGAAATATTCATTTCCGACCCTATAAAGTATATATATTCTTGATCAGGGTAAAATTCTAAGACGATCTACCTATGGCCGTCGGTCCGTCTGTCTGTTGTAATCACGCTAACTTCTGAAGGAATTGAGATAGGGTGCTGAAATTGAGGTTTAATCGTATTTTTCCGCCGAATTAGCTGTAATTTAGTATAGGATAGCCCCCATATATGGGTACCCCCAATTTTCGGTATTTTGGGGTTCTTGAGCGAGTTTTTCAACCGAATTTGCTGCAATTTGGTATTTTGTAGTCGTAAATGGTAACAAATCTCCCTACAAAAAATTATTAATATTCGCCCCCTTTTTGGGGCAGTCCTCATATAACTCCCTTTTTTATTTTTAAATAGTTATCTGATTTGTTACGCGTTTTGAGTTTAGTTCTAAGACTCTGGTTCTAATCATTTCACCTGCGGAGGATAGCGAGATAAAAAATTAGAACGTAAGGTTCGATAATGAACTGTAGCCGCATTTAGACCTAGCCCCTGTGTGGAGGTTCCAGAAGGAGTGGACCGATATTCCCCATCTTCTAATTTGAACTAAGTTTGGAAGAAATAAGTTTGGGTGAAATCTAATTTTTCTAAAACGGATTTGGTCCATTGAAAGATGTGGTCTAGAACCAATATTTCGATGAGGCATATTTTCACCGTGTTAAAGTGTATACACCCTCATTAGCCACAAGGCTCAGGATATAATTATCCATTAAAAAATTCTGAAATTTGTATTATGGTTTACATAATCCTTTTTTAGAAATGTCGGTAAAGGTCCACTTTTTGGTATGTTCCCTATATGTTCATTTCTAGTACCTGTCAGTATATCTATGGCGGAGGGTATCCAAAGTTCGGCCCGGTCGAACTTAACGCTTTTTTACTTGTTTCAGTGTACGCTTTGTCCTTAAATGGGTTTCTCTTTGATGTTAGCTGCTATTTATATTTTTTGTGTTATGTTTATTGTTTTATTTTCATTCTACTTTTAATTATTGTCATTTCAAAAGTAAAACCATTGTTTTTTATATGATAGATCATGTACGAGGGCAGTTCGGAAACCTTTTAGCCTAGCACAAAAAGCGCGGTATAAACATAAAAAGGTTAAGTGTTTTGGAAACTCTGTTATGAAAACATGTTAAATTTTGTTTTGATCTGGCAACTCCACTCCATTTAATTTTCCATTAAGAACTACAGATGAAAAAGCTTTCTGCAAGATGGGTGCCGCATTTGTTTACAGTCGATCAAAAACGCATAAGAATGAACATTTCTCAATGTTTGGATCGTTTTAAGGGAAATAAAATGGATTTTACCACCATATACTCCAGAGACCCGGTAAATTGGGTAAATACACAATATAGAAATCCAAAATGGGGTGCTGGGCCCATGTTTTGATATAGCCCCCATATAACAGTATTTCCTGATTTAAGGTATGAGGACTACCAGTAAACGTGGACATACATACATAAATTATTGCATGGACATTTAACACCTAAAGAGAACAGTCTGTGCCAAATTACAGCCAATTTAGTTGTAAAATATGTCTAATAGACAATAAATACCTTAAATCGGGAGATATGGTTATATGGGGGCTATATCAAAACTTGGACTCAGGGACTCCATTTTGCATATCTATGTTTGCGTTGATATTAAAAACATGTATGCAAAATTTTGGCCGCCTATGTCAATGGTTAAATACCCAATTTTTGGTAAAAACTGGGTATTTAATATTTACCCACATATTAAAAGTATTGTAAAACAATCCATTCTAAATCGATTTGATAACATAAAAAATAGGGTGTTTGTTGTATTACCGTTTATAGTAAATACCCAAAAATACCCGCAAATGGGTATTTACTCACCCCTTGTATATACCACCATCTCTATTTTGGATCAATTAAATGTACAAAATTCGAGAAAAACGTCCTAACTTTCAACTGAAAAAAAATAATTTCTCTTCAACACAGCGCACGTATTAAAGTTCGAGTTGCTTTACCACCCACCTTATTCTCCTGATTTAGCTGCCAGTGACTTTTACTTGTTCCCAAATCTAAAAAAAAATTTTAGGAGATTACATTGAAAAATAAAAATATTTTTGAAAAAGTAACTATTCTCTTTCATTGATAGGTTAAGAAGTTTACGAGCCGCCCTCGTAAGCGGTATGTGAGGTCAACGGAGATTTCGGAGAATATGTTTCAATGTACAGCATATGGTGTATATTCATTTAGTAGTTTATAGAAGTACATGGCTAGAAATTATTGTACTGCATAGTTGACATACATATTAAAATAGATGGAATTGCAAAAATTTGTAATAACATAGATTTAATAACAAATTAAAAAAAAAAAAAATTAAATTGTATTTGTGTAAGTAAATATTTTCAAATGAAAATATGACAGTATGAGTTTTGTTCTAATGAATGGGGGCTCCATTAATTTCAAACATTTTGAATGTCATCCTCTTGGTGGAGCGTATTAAAAGTTCGGCCGGGTCGAACTTAACATTGCTGTAATATATCCAAATGCTTTTGTCTCATATAAAACGTATGGACAAAGCAAATAAACGAGTAGTATTTTTCAAAATTCAATTATATAGATTTCAAAAATATATATAATTGAATTGTTTATTATTACACACTGAATCATCACAACATTCCTCTTGCACACAACTAACCATGAGTAATTTCGTTATCTTATCTATTTTTGTGTACTTTGTTTTTATCAATTTTATGTATGGTTTTGTAAGTCACAATATGTATGTACACATACATATTTTTTTTCTTTTTTTAATATTACACACAAAATCATCACTTAATTTGAAATATTTTCAACGATTTTAGTAAAATAAAAGAAAAATAATTAGATCGTATTTAAGAACAATATTCTTACTTAAAAAGATGACCAAGTAGGTCGATGGATTTTTAATTAACTTCATTTTTCAAAATTTTTTTTTTTTGATTTTTCTTTGTGTTTGTTGAAAATTGAAAATTTCGTTCGTTTTATCGCCGACAATTGTCGCCGTTTAAAAGTCGTTTCAGTACTAACCAATATAACGGGGTGCGTACAGTTTTTTTTAATATACCATTGTTATCCGAATACACTGCATTCGGAATGATAAGATAAGACTCAGAAATGTTAGGCAGTTAGTATTTTGTGTGTGCCCCATCTATATGTGATATTCTTGGTAAACTGGTTGAATGTCACATATAGATGATGTTATGATTTTAATTCCCGCCTAAATGCGATTGTTTTAACCAGGATGTAGTCAGGGTTTTGTATTGGGGACTGGGTCGACTATGCGATACTCTTCAGCACCTTGGATAGTGAGAAAAAATAATATTGATCCAAGTTTGAGGATAACCCCACTCAACGGTATTTTGGAAATTTTAGACACGTTTTCTAACCGAATTGACTGTAATTTGGAATTCTCTATTGTCTGTCAAATCTTACTACCAAAAATTAACAATATAGATCCGTGTCTTGGTATAGACCCATATAACGCTATTCCCAATATTAAGTATTTGGAGAATTTAAATAATTTTTTCACGTCTATTTCGGTATGTTTGAGACCCCATCATAACATGAGTTTTCTCCTCTTATTTGAATGTCATCCTCATGGTGGAGGGCGTAAAAAAGGTTTTTATGCCCTCCGCCATAATATGAAGTGTAGATTAAATTTTTCATTCCGTTTGCCACACCTCGAAAAATTTACCGGAGACTCTACGAGTACACATATTCTTGATTAGAAACACATTCTAAAATTCTTAAGCAGACAAAATTCTATAAAATCCAGTGTCGGTTTACGCATTTCCGCAATAATAAAGTTAGAGATCTGAAATTTTGAACAGACATTGCTAGTACTCCTAGGATGTTTGGTATTGTAAATGTATCGGTCCACGTTTTGGTGTAGCCCCCATGTAACCGGGTTTCAATTGAATTGGCTGTAATTTGGTATTTTGGGTACTCATTGCATAGCACATGCCCGTACAAAAAAATTATTTATATTGACCCAAATTTCAGGGTAGCCCCCATATGATGGTACCCCCAACATTCGGTATTTAGGCGATTTTCGACACGTGTTTCAACGGAATTGGCCATAGATTAGTATTTTGGTTTCATATTGAATAGCACATCTCCATACCAAATATTTTTATACCCTCCACCATAGTATGGAGGGTATATTAGTTTTGTTTTTCCGTTTGTAACGCATCGAAATAATTATTTCCGACCCTATAAAGTATATATATTCTTGATCAGCGTAAAATTCTATGACGATCTAAGCATGTCTGTCTGTCTGTTGTAATCACTCTAGCGTCTAAACGAATTGAGATAGAGCGCCAACATTTTGCATGGAGCCGTCTTTTGTCTGCAGGCAGATCAAGTTTGAAGATGGGCTATATCGGTCCACGTTTAGGCATAGCTCCATATAAGGGCACCCCCAAATTTTCAATATTTTGGGGTTCTTGAGCGCGTTTTTCAACCGAATTCGCTGAATTTTGGTAAAATGGGTTCTTTTTGGATACCATATTTCTCCACCAAAAATTATAAATATATGTCCATTTTTTCGGGTAGCCCTCATATAAGGTACGCCCAATTTTCAACAGTTTTTCAACCGAATTCACTGAAATTTGGTACTTTGAGCTCTTATTGCGAAGCAAATCTCTCCACTAAAAATTATAAATATAGGTCCATTGTTTCGGGTAGCTCCCATTTAAGGATACCCTCCAATTTTCGGTATTTTGCGGTTCTTGAACACGGTTTTCAACCGAATTCGCTGTAATTTTGTATTTTGTAGTCGTATATGGTAACAAATCTCCCTACCAAAAATTATTAATATTCGCCCCCTTTTTGGGGTAGTCCCCATACAACCCCCTTTTTATATTAAAATAGTTATCTGATTTATTCCGCGTTTTGAGTTTGGTTCTAAGACTCTCTTGTAATCATTTCATCATGCGGAGGAGATAAAAAATTAGAACGTAACGCTCGATAATGAATTATAGCCGCATTTAGGCCTATCCCCTGTGTGAAGTTTCCAGAAGAAGTGGACCGATATTTCCCATCTTCGAATTTGAACTAAGTTTGGAAGAAATAATAAGATGGACAATGTTTGAATAAAATCTAAATTTTCTGAAACGGATTTGGTCCAAAGAAACATGGGGTCTAGAACCAATATTTCGATGAGACACATTTTCACGGTGTTAAAGTGTATACACCATCATTAGCCATATAGCTGAGGGTATAATTATCCATTAAAAATTTCTGAAATTTTTATTATAGTTAACATAATCCGTTTTTAGAAATGTCGGTATAGGTCCACTTTTTGGTATGTTCCCTATATTTTTATTTCTAGTAACTGTCAGTGTGGAGGGTATCCAAAGTTCGGCCCGGCCGAACTTAACGCTTTTTCACTTGTTAAGGTTTGTTTTTGGGATTTGGTACACAATGATCAATATTGATCCCCGTTTTGGTATAGCCCCAAAAAACGTCATTAGGTAATCATTTTTTCTCATGTATTTTTCGGTATATTTAAGCTCCTATCATAATATTAGTTTTATCCCAAGAAACCCAATTAATTGTACATATTTTAAATGTCATGTTGGAACATCGTTTTATATTGTTTCAACCAAATTGGCTGCAATTCAATATCCCCTATATAAACACCCCGCACCTTTTTAATTACATCGAGAGTTTTAACCACACATTATTCGCTGTAGTATAGTTTTAAGCGGGATTGGAAACTTCATTATAAAAAACTGACAGTATATCTATGGTGCAGGGTATAAAATCGATTGCGAATGTATAATATTTATTTTAACTCTTAATACGTTATGGTCTTTATTTTAGAAAAGACACAATTGTAAAAGTGTTTACGACCCAATTGTGTTAGCTTAACGAAAGTAAACATCGGATATATTCAATGAATTACTTTGCCAAGTTTTGTCAAATAGCGGCATGAACTACATCATCATATAGAAAGTAAATTTAGTAGTATTTAAAATTTGTGGGCATGTGCCAATTTCCACCGAATATGGTTATGTTGAAGTAGCTGGAAATTAGATTAGAAATAAACAAAAATTATTTTTTGTCAGTTTGTCAAATTGTCCCAAAATTTCAAAATCCATTTGGGGAACAATATATATCGAATTTCAAAACCCCAAAACGCTTATCGATACTGATAACTTATTGGGGTTATGCCTAAACACAGACAGTATTGACATTCTTCGATCTTGACCTGCGCTTCGGAATTTGAATACCTTCTTGCCAAAAATTGTCACTATTGGTCCACATTTATTTATAGTACACAAATTCGCCCAAATAGGAATTGCTTTACTATTATACAGATCTCAAAGAATATATATGATGCAGCTAATAAAGCTATTAGGCTTATACGTATAATAACGAGATATATATTTAAAAAATATATATATTGAAGGAAGTTAAATTTTGGTAGGGATGCATCACTCGTTTCAATAGGAATATAGTAAATAAATTAAGCATAACACTTGTGTTTAATAATTCTTTATTTTTTTTAACATGAGTCTTTCCTTTCAGTCACATCGTTCATTTCCTAATTGACTACTAATTAAAATAGCATTTGTCCGATTATCTTAATGGCGTCTGTGCTTAAGTTTGCGAACAGTCTTGTAGCGATAGCCGTCATCACCAAAGACGGCAGTCTGCTCGGGAACAGAAACAATACTGATGACTTCTTCGGTTTGAGATTCAGATGGTGGCAAATATTCGTTTGAGGGAAGTTCGTTAACATCGCGACGATGACGATAACGGATACGACGCACGGTCTTGTAACGGTAACCATCATCAGCCAAGACGGCAGATTCTTGGGCAGCAGCTTCAACAGGAGCTTCGACAGCAACTTCTTGTTCAGTGGCAGCTACAGGAGGCAAGTATTCGTTGGTTGGCAATTCATTGACATCGCGACGGTGACGATAACGGATACGACGTACGGTCTTGTAACGGTAACCATCATCAGCCAAGACGGCAGATTCTTGGGCAGCAGCTTCAACAGGGGCTTCGACAGCAACTTCTTGTTCAGTGGCAGCAACAGGAGGCAAGTATTCGTTGGTTGACAATTCATTGACATCACGACGACGACGATAACGGATACGACGAACGGTCTTGTAACGGTAACCATCATCAGCCAATACGGCAGATTCTTGGGCAGCAGCTTCAACAGGGGCTTCGACAGCAACTTCTTGTTCAGTGGCAGCTACAGGAGGCAAGTATTCGTTGGTTGGCAATTCATTGACATCGCGACGGTGACGATAACGAATACGACGTACGGTCTTGTAACGGTAACCATCATCAGCCAAGACGGCAGATTCTTGGGCAGCAGCTTCAACAGGGGCTTCGACAGCAACTTCTTGTTCAGTGACAGCTACAGGAGGCAAGTATTCGTTGGTTGGCAATTCATTGACATCACGACGACGACGATAACGGATACGACGCACTGTCTTGTAACGGTAACCATCATCAGCCAAGACGGCAGATTCTTGGGCAGCAGCTTCAACAGGGGCTTCGACAGCAACTTCTTGTTCAGTGGCAGCTACAGGAGGCAAGTATTCGTTGGTTGGCAATTCATTGACATCGCGACGATGACGATAACGGATACGACGTACGGTCTTGTAACGGTAACCATCATCAGCCAAGACGGCAGATTCTTGGGCAGCAGCTTCAACAGGGGCTTCGACAGCAACTTCTTGTTCAGTGGCAGCTACAGGAGGCAAGTATTCGTTGGTTGGCAATTCATTGACATCACGACGACGACGATAACGGATACGACGCACTGTCTTGTAACGATAACCATCATTGGCCAAAACGGCGCTGTCTTGGGTGGCTTCAACAGCTGGTTCCTCGACTACTACAGCTTCCTCAGTGGCGGCTGCAGTTTCGGTGCTTGGGGGCAAATATTCATTGTTCACCAGTTCGCTTACATCGCGGCGGTTTCTAAACTTAAGTTTACGTACAACCTTGTAGCGGTAACCATCTTCGGCAATTGGGGCGACTTCGGCATTCACTTCTGGTGGGATATACTCCTGAGTTATCAGGCTATTATCCACCACGGGTGTCAAATATTCGCTGTTTATAGAAGCTGCGGACGCAGCTGCTATGGCAGCAAAGGCAAAAACGAAGAATCTCTACAATAAATAAATGCATTGCATATTTTAATGTGAAACTATATATTCTGAGTTGGCACTGTCAGTAATATCCTCAAAATCCTCCAAATATATTGAATTTTACTTACCATTCTACTTAAGACTGAACAACTTAAGCTATGAAAGACAAGGTGTGTTATGATTTCTTCTCATCACAATCTCTAATATTTATACTCTAGATTGATTGGAAGAACAAATGACCTTATTTTGAATAATTTTTATTTCTGATATAATTAAAATCACTAATCCATAGATTTTGCCTATGAAAGGCATCATCAAACTACTTGGCCAATCACTTGGCTAGGTTGTTAGGTTAGATTGTTCGTCGTGGACAAAAAACTTCGCAGATTTTCTTATTGATATGATATGTTTTGATATGTTTTTTTTATGTTTTCTGTTTTGCTCATCTCAATTGTGTGGGTCTATCGTATTGTTATGATGATGGTGATGTGCGGACAAATGCTATAATAGACGTTTTCAATTATTTCCGGAAATATCTTTTTTTGATATAAACCTTTCATTTTTTTAACCAATTCAAGTTCAAGAATGATCGTTGTTTTGTAAGGTAAATGTGTTCAAGTGTTTATAGAGACTGTAGGTTATGATAATATTGATATTATAGAACATAATTATTTCAAGAATATTCATTAAATCAGAATGGTAGAAACAAATATAATACACGGAAATTTGTATTTGTGTGTAATTTTTGTAAATGTTAATGGATAATTCAACTAACATTTGTCGAGTAAGAAGTAATTTTATTTTTATACCCTACACCATAAGTTAGAGAGTATATTAAATTTGTCATTCCGTTTGCATCTCTTCGACATATTCATGTTACTATATACTGATAGAACGTTGAAATTTTGCATATACATTGTTATTACTCTTTCGATGTTTGGTATTAAAAATGACATTTATCGGCCCATGCTTTGATATAGCCTTCATATAACGGTACCCTCAAATATTTTGTATTTTGGGGATTGTTTCACATGATTTTCCCATTTTAAGTTCCCATTGGGTATTAATTGTTCCTGCCGAAAATGATCAATATTTGACAGTTTTCCAACCAAGTTGTGATTTTAGATTCTCATTGGGCAGAGAATCTTCCATCCAAGAAAATCAATATTGATTCATGTTTCGAGGGCACATCTTTCTATCAAAAATTATCCATATTGGGTGACTTTATACGACCCCCTCATTGGGTCACATTGGGTTGATATATACCCATTATTCGACAATTGAAGGTTTTGGTACATTTTTCAATCGAATTGACAGCAGTTTGATATTTTTTGTAAACATGGGGTGTCAAATTTTCCCATCGGTATTTTGAGGGTTTTTCTAATTTCTCTGACATAAATAAAGTTATATAAAAGCATCACCATATTTTCGTTGAAGGTTTTAGCCGCATTATCTCATAAATTGGCTGCCATTCCGGGTTCTTGCAGGTAGGTCTATATTTGAACACAGTTCCCACATATAGGTACGTATTTTTAAGTTTTTAGACAGATTTTCTCACCGAAGAGAATGTAATTTGAAAAAATATTTTTGTCGAAAAATTTCGTTGCTTGCCCATTTTTTGACATAGCCCCTATATAAAGAGGGGCGTGACCAATTTTCGGTACTCTGACGGAGCGGTTATTTTCTTTTTTCAAATTCTTACTTCAATTTCTTTCCAGAATGTTTTTAATATAAATTCACGATTTTTACGTTCCTTGTCCAGTTTTAAAATCTATAATTTGGTTGTGTATTTTCCCACATAAGCAACCTAATAGTTAATAGTATTCGAAAACCGTCCAAAGAGGTGTTTATTAATTTCGACCAGATGGACCTTAACACATTTTCTGGTAAAAGAAAGCTAAGCTATTTTGGGTGTACAAGTCACATTTCCAACCCATCCGACTTTTATGAATAAATCGATTTCAACGAAACTTGCCAGAGATCAATTTATATTAACTTCAATACATGTGCAAAATTATGTGACAATAGGACAAACTTTTGGTCTTTAGTGCACAAATTACATAAAATCGGACGAAAATATATATGGGAGCTATATATAAACCTGAACCAACTTTTACGAAACTTATCACATTATTCTAGATTTAATTCAAATGTTGTGCAAATCGAAAGATATATAAATCCTAGGAAAATATATGTGGGAGCTATATCTAAATCTGAAGCGATTTTAAGGAAACTTAACACACATCATTCTAGATTTAATCCAGCACGCTATGCCATTTAGTGCAAATCGAAGGATATATAGGTACATTGGTACATCATTTACATAAAATTGGACGAAAATATATATCAGAGCTATATATAAATCTGAACCGATTTTCACAAAAGTTAACACATATCATTCTAGACTTAATTCTAGAGTAATGCCAAATTTTGTGCAAATCGGAAGATATGTAGAGACTTTGGTACACCATTTACATAAAATCGGACAAAAATATACGCAAATCGAAAGATATGTAGGGACATTAAAAATCATTTACATTAAATTGGGCGGAAATATATAGGGAGCTATATCTACATCTGAACTGATTTTCAGGAAACTTAACACATATCATTGTATATTTTAGCACGCTATGCCAAATTTCGTGCAAATCGAAAGATATATAGAAACTTTTCTACACCATTTACATAAAATCGGACGAAACCAATTTCAGAAAGTGATTCTATGCATATTATCAAATGGAACTATGTGTCTATTTCGTTTCCTTTGCCTCTTACATACATATGCACAAACACATAATGATGGTGAAGGGGGTAAAAACATAAAAACAATTAATTTAGGATAAAGCACCCTTTCCTAAGGGTACCATACGTCCTCTTTAAGAGGACAATCATCTAATTTAATTAGCTGTAATCTGTAATATTGATGTCATTTATTTTTTTAATCTGTCATCATTGTCATCTATATTTTTAAAGCCTCTTTGTTATGTACATTTTATAAAGATCCCAAGATTATTCGATTCGGACCAAAAATTTGGCAGTACTTAACGGGTTTTTAACTAATTTTATATATTTATAAGTAAATAGAAATTTACGTTTATATACATATATTATTGTTTTATTAAAAATATACAAAAATATTAAAACTATACCACAATCATGTACCAGTGTGTGTGGTGTAGGGTATAAAAAGCCTAAATTTATTTTTGATTTTCATAGTGCCATAAATGTTTTGACATAATGATTGAACTGAGACAAACTGAGCATATTTAAATAATGTTTATTTTTGGTTCCATTGTTGATTCTTTTTTATTGTTCCCTGAAAACAATGACCAACCACATGGCGCATGGGCATACACAAAACGATGCCACTTCATTCATTTGTGGCCATTCGTATCGATTGTAAACCGGTCTATAATTTTCAAGTGACAAAAGATCAACACAATATTTAAATTTAGGTATAATTGTTATTGTTTTAATATGCATGCTGGATCACTCAACTATAATGCTTAGCGGCGAATTTATTAAAGAAAAAGAAAAAAACACAATAACTGGGAAGTAAAAAAATAGTCATTACTTTTAAGAGTATCTCAAGAGAGCATCGTAAAACACGCGCACGCACATACATAGAGCATTTGTAAAGTTTAGTCGCACTGGTCGATTATGTTTATTGTGGGGAATGGAATATGCAAATGCTGTTAAACGTTTTTTTTTATCAATGGCCATAAAGGTAAATCTATAGTTTGGGAATAATAACAATAAAAAATAAAATTAAAATGGTGTTAATTTGTGAATGTCGTATATTAGCAGATATTATGTGGAAAGGTCAGAATTTTTTCATAGGTATCGGAGAAAGAGGTATGAATGAAATGTAATATTAAAAGGCATTTAAGGGAACCCCCCCCATTCTCGCTTTTAATGTTTCAAGATTTTCAATGGGCTGGTAAATCAGTACCAATGCTTGTTAAGGTTAGTAACTTTGCACATATATATTTGAAGATTTAAAAGAAAAGAAAAATAATTTACAAAAATTTGTTGTTATTGTTTTGTTGTTGTTTTTTGTAATTAAAGAGAAGTCCTTATTTTTGATGGCGGACATGATAACTCCTCACTGGAACATCGGAATTCCGAAAATTCCAACGGTGTTAGAAAGAGTACATGTCTGGCTCTCGTATGAACTAGGATTATTGACTTCGCTCTAAAATTAACAAAATGGCGCACCTTTCAAAAATATTTTTGGAAAATCACCGATTTTTGACAAAAAACCAAGTTAAAAAATAAGGAAGCACTTCCGATTGGCTTTATGCTAGTTCATACGATAGCTATACACTTACAGAGAAACGTGTACAAATTTGGAATCGATTGGGTTATTAATTTTTGAGTTATCGTGCCCGCCATTCGCAAAAGAGAAAAAAAAACGTTTAAAGTTTGAGAAGCCCTTTAGCCGTCACTTGATGCTGACACAATAAATCGGCTATATTTTCAAGAGTTCTTGAGATTTTCACTTGAAATTTTGTAGGGATATTCTTGAATTAGTGTAGAATCAAATTAAATCAAAAAAAATTTGACTCCGAGAATGGGGGGGTCCCCTTAAATTAGATTTGTACTGGTGTTTATAAATCCAGTACAATGTAAGCGTACTATTAAACATCGAAACCAGGTTTTTAAAATTTGTTAATCGAATAACAATCGCATATAATGTCCGATATGATACAAAATATGTACATTGTGATATTTCATTCAAGCTGAAATCAATTTCGAAGATGGGACCTACCGGTTTACTCATTCCTTACTTGCATTTGAAATAATTGATGTTCAGAAATATACTTACTGTGCGGATCTTAAAAAATCACCCTTTAGTGGATTCAATGCCAAACCAGACCATGAATCGGAATTAAAATTTAATAGAATGTTCTCTCCGCAACAGAAATCTAGCTCTATACTATACTATTAAGAATCATTTATTACCCTTTGTACTCTTGTAATATTTATTTCGAAAAAATTCAAATATAGAATCACCCAGTCGGTATATCAAAAACCACCGCAACATTAATTCGAAATCTCAGAATTCCAGCTCTATCGGTCCACTCTAAATCCACATTGTACCAAATTTAGTGTCATTTAGTATACATTAGTGGATATTTTCAAAACTTCCTACATACCCCAAACCATCACCCAAACAGTGATCCTGACTCCAAATGTCAAGATTCCAGCTCTATCGGTTCACCCAAATCAAAATTTGCTACCATTTAGTACAAAATTTACAATACTCACTGCATATTCCAAACCTACACCACAAAAATGATTCTTACTGCAAATTTAAGAATCCTAGCTCTATCAGTTCACCCAAAATTTAAATGTGTAGTAACCATAAGTATGAATTTTCCAAAACTACACCGATATTCCACACTCCAACAGTAACCTTATTTTCAAATTTCTGTGTTCGAGCTCTATCGGTTCACCCAAATCCACATTTGGTACCATTTTATACACATTAGTAAAAATTTCCAAATCCAATCCTCCATCCCAACAGTGACCCTAAATCCAAATTTCAGGATTCCAGCTATATTGATTCAATAAAAATTTAAATTGACCAAATTTAGTAGACGTTAGTAGGATTATGCAAAACTTTCTAGAAAGTCCAACCATACATCCCAAAAATCATACATCTTAACATCAAATTTCAATCGGTTCTCCCAAAATTCACATTTGGTACCATTAAGAAAAATTTTTCAAAACATCCTACATCGGGCCACCGTACAATTTAACTTGCACCATATTTAGTTCACATTAGTAAGAATTTCATCGAAAAATATATTTGTATATTGTAAAAAAGACATATAATTTCAATTAATCATCTAATTGACACAATGAAGCTGCTCCACGATTTATCCAATGCATTTGATTCCTGGTACATGGTAAATCCATATACATTACGAAATTTGTCGAATGGCCAGTGGTGGAGAGAACACCACGTCTTTCACTTGTCTTATATACAGGACATTCGTAGATATGCTTCCCATCTCGACCAATATCAACGTTATCTTTGGTCGTTTCATCATTTTTCAATGTTGGCAAAAGGCAAACAACGGGTATGGTATCGAAGAGAACTTTCGCAAACGATTCATCCAGAGCTTGTTCGGTACGATTCCAGCGACAACCCTCTAAGAAGAGACCCTGCATTTTAGAAAAATAAAAAAATAAATTGCATTGTGATTAGAAAAGAGTAAATAATATTAATTGTATGACATGCCAGATAACTTAGCTAGTAAAAATGATAATCGACTGGAATTACTCCAACAAAATAAAAAAATAAAATTTAAGAATATTTAATGTATGTTAAGTTCAAAAGGAGGTAATGCCGTATTTTTTTAATAATTAAAAGATTGGCAAATAAGAGTATTATAAAGGTACGTTAAGATAAATAAAAATTTTATATTGCAACGATGTTTTAACATTGCCTCTTTATAAAGGACCCGATCCATGTTTAAGGTTTGACCACATTTTCTAAATAAAGTGGTTGTAATTTGTACGTCCGAGTTCTGGGAGAATGACACACTTATTTTCAGTTCCTGATTTTCATATAGCCCTAATATAACGGTACGGTTCGATTTTAGGTATTTTGAATGCTTAATTTGACATTCCGTGGATGTATGACCATGTCTGTATATGGCCCTTGTATAGAGGTATGATCCATTTTAGGTATTTCAATGGTTCTAGTCTCATTCTCTAAGCGATGTGTCTAAAAGTTCAGGTTTAGGGAACCCCAACCATATTTTGATTTTCATGCTTAATTTGACATTCCGTATAATTGGATGTATGACCATGTCTGTATATGGCCCTTGTATAGATGTATGATCCATTTTAGGTATTTCAATGGTTCTAGTCTCATTCTCTAAGCGATGTGTCTAAAAGTTCAGGTTTGTAAGGGATAATAGATCGCTTAATAGAAAAGATTTAAAATTGCTGCATGTTTTGCAACAGTATCATTATTTATATGTTGATGGTTTTGAGCGAATTTTATAACAGAGACTACTATATATCCATCTGTCCAAGGGCTCCACATGATATTGTACGGATGACCTTATTGTCCCTTTCGCACTTTGGGTATCATATAGTCGGCCACGTCTTGTTTAATGTCTGTTGAAATTGGTTCAGATTTAGATATAGCTACAATATATGATTTTGTCCGATTTTATATAATGATGTACCAAACTCCCAATATTTGTCAGATTTTGCACAGCGTACTGAAACAGGTCCAGATTAATGTCTGTCAAATGCTGTAGAAATCTGTTCAGATTTAGATATAGATCTCATAAATAATTTTGTCTGATTTCATGTAAATGGCACACAAAACTTCCAATATTTTTCCGATAAAGACAACAATTTTGTACGGCGTATTGAATTAAGTCCAGTTTGATGTCCGTGAAGTTTTGTGGAAATCGGTTCAGATTTACATTTAGCTCTCATATATAGTTTCATTCGACTTCATGTAAATGGTGCACCAAACTCCCAATATTTTTCCTATAAGGACAAAGCGTTCTGAATTTCGGTCCAGTTTGATGTCCATGAAGTTTTGTCGAAATCGATTTAGATTTAGATATAGCTCCCATATATAGTTCCGTCTGATTTTATGTAAATGGTGCAACAAAGTCCCAATATTTGTCCGATTGACGCAAAATTTTGCACAACGTACTTAAATAGTTCCAGATTAATGTATGTGGAAATCGGTTGTAGTTGGATAGCTCCCATATATTTATACCCTTCACTAAACTGTGGTACAGGTGCATATGTTTGTAACAGGCAAAAGGAAACGAGATAGACACATGGTTCCTTTTGAGAATATGCATAGAACTCTTTTTTTAAGTCGATTTATGCATGTTCGTTTGTCCGTCCGTCCATGTATTTTTGTTAACAAAGTACAGGTCGCATTTGTGATCCGATTTGGATGAAATTTGGCACAGTTCACTTATTTGGCCCTAGGACGAACCCTATTGAAATTGGGAAAAATCCCTTCAGATTTAGATATAGCTTCCATATATATTTTCGTCCGATTTTATGTAAATATTGCACCAAAGTCCCTATATATCCTTCGATTTGCACGATATTTGGCATAGCGTACTGAATTAAGTTTACAACGATGTGAGTTAAATTTCGTGAAAATCGGTTCAGATTTAGATATAGCTCCCATATATATTTTCGACGTCTGTTAGGATTCCATCTGTTGAATATACCCAAAGTGGTGAAGGGTATCATATAGTCGGCCCCGTCCGACTTTACCACTTTCCTTACGGGTTTTTATATATAGTTGGTTGTGCTATTGACATACAATTTTGTACAGCGTCCCTTTTTGAATTTAAAATTAAGTGCATTATGTTTCATTTTAATCGGTTGAGATTTACATATAACTCCGATACTAATTTTCGCTAACAACTTACTGGTTACAAAAATATTATGACTTTTCATATACTACAAAGTTTGTGCTTGGCTAGAACAGATTGTGCATTGTACATGTTACAATAATATTCCATCTTACGTGTATTAACTTTGCTTCGTCATTGCTTTGCTTTTGTTTCTGAAAGTTTGTTTTGTGTTTAGCAAATTAAAAATAAAAGATGAAGAAGGAAACACAGTAAGTTAACTCTCTCTTTCTCTTTTTTAAACATTATTATCTTATGTTTCTTGAAACTTTTGGTTGTTTAAGAATGTAGCTGGAAAAACAAAACAAATGGCAACGAATTTTCAACTTACCCGTATATATGCTCCACGTTCTGGCTCTTCATCGGCTTCCATTTCATATTGAGTAACTTCGAAATCAATTTTCACCATATCAATCTGATAACTATTCTTTCTAGAATAATTTTGCAATACACCAGTCATAAACGATTGAGTGAAATAAAATCCGGACAGCCAGTAGACGATTGGCTCCCCCTCCTCTATCCAACGTTGAAAGAATTCCAATCTGGAAATAAGATGATTGCAGTTAAAAAAAAAAATAATAAAAAAATACAAACAGAGTTTGTCGATAAAGTGTCCAAACAACATGCTTACGCACATTTCAGTTTGAACAATTTCAATAGATCTTAGAAAGTTTATTTTAAATTTTAATTAGTTTTTCAGAGCATTTTGTATCTTCTTTTTTATAAAATCTTTTGATATCAAAGAACTTAAGGCTTTTCTTTTGAACTAAATAAAAGTGAAAAGGAAAATATATTTTTGTATCCTTAGGGATTGTAAAATAAATTTTGTAAATTAAAGTTTAGGTGCATCCATTGGATGCATGTATATTAAATGTAGTATATATTAAATTAAATGTATATATTAAATGACTCGTTCCGTTTGCAACTCCTCGAAATATTCACTTGGGACCCCATAAATATTTAGCCAGGTCCGCAATGGTTCACATTTTAGAGAATGCCCCATGTAACGCCACATCTAGAGTTCGGCATTTTTCGGGAGCTTGGGCACGAGTTTCAACCAAATTGGATGCAATTTAATATTTGGAATTCGTATAGAGTAGACGATCTCTTCCTACCCAAAATGATAAATATTGGCTCATGTTTCCGGGTAGTCGCCCATATAAAGATAATCCCCAGAGTTTTTAACACTTATTTATACGAACTGGACAAATTTGATTTTTCAGATGGTATATCTGTTATATAACGGTACCAAAACATTTTGGGTTGGATTGAAGGTTTTAGCCACATTTTCCCAAATTCTTTATACCAAATTGCAGCTGTAATTTGTAAAAGCTCACATGCATATATACAGAAAATTATCAATACAAGTCCATGTTGTGATATAGCCCCTATGGATCTGTATCGAAATGGTGTTGCTAAAAATCATTAATGATTATTATGCTCCAAGAACATCGAATGCTAAATTACGCAATCCCACGCAGCGCGATCCTGAAATTACACGGACAGCTGTTGCTAACCACCTTATGTTTGTATTGTTCTGTTTCTATTTTGGAAGCAACATATCCCGGAATGCTTTCTTCGGATTCTTTTGGTCCGTGTCGGGATCTAACAAAACCCCAAACTTATGGTTCTGTTCGGTTTGCCACAACATCATTGACCACAGATAAGTGGGATATAATGGGTGCTGGGAGTGGGTGCACTTCAGGAGCTGTTCCGGTTAGGAATTATGTTGCCTCACGCTGCTACAGAGCAATCCCCAGCGAGCCCTTGTCCACGACGACAACTTCTTCGTCGGAGTACGGAACTCCACTGCAGTTTCCTCACCAGCAACCAAATATGCAGTATTTAACACCACACTGTGCTGTTTCTATTCCTGATAGTGCATCATATAATGGCAACGACCTTCGGGGAAAAATAGACATGGATAGTGGATTTAATGAATAGGAAGAATATCTTGGTGGCGGAGGTACTGGAAGCCAAGTTCGATGGTAATTGTAGGCTATAGCGTTGTGTTGGTAACAACGTTCCGAGGAAGGATCGCACCAGAAGTGGAGGTGGGGACCTACCATTCCTTATGCACCACTCTGTTCAATACAGGCTTATCTCGCTTGAGATGGAGTCTAGTGACCCATGCAATGTATGGGAGTAGCCGTTAAATGTGGTAGGTACTGTCGAAATGTATATAATGCCGATTAGTATCTGTGAACCGCATAATTTGCTTAATATTAGGTTCCTATTGGAGGGCAATAATGTTCTCCGTGGGTTGTGCCATTTCCGTCCTAGGTAATGACCACAGGTGATCAGTGCTGGTAGAGCTGGCAGAGAGATTTTCAGTTCACCAGACATAAGCATTTTGTTGACCGGTCTTATAAATAAATTCAACTGGCAGCCTGTCATTTCTTTTAGTTCAGACCATCTCCCTCTCCATCCGTAGATCACCGGATTCCATTACCTCTGAACGGCGGACTTAACTTAATCATAAGAAAGCCAACTGGCAATGAGAGAAAGCGCTTGAGAGAAATTTCCATTCCTTCTTACGTACGGATAGCAGTTACGATACGTATGCAGTTACGTATTTACCAGCCTTCTTCCACGCGAGAAATATAAAAGTATCCCCCACGAAATCTTCGGCCACATTTTTCACAATATGGACTGCGGAGATGAGAATGTATTGAATGTGCAGGTCGACGGGGCATACAATTCCAACCACCAACAACCCCAAATTCTCGGGGTCACATTCGCCAGCAATCTACGATAAGTTGAAAAGTGGGAATACGGTACTCTTACAAAGTGATAAAGTGCCAGTGTGGTCTGCGAAGACTAGTGCTACGCAATGCAAAAGTATTCAGTATTTTTAGAACGCCGCCCTGACAATATGGTGCCTCCTCATGACACCATCTTCATAAGAAAACGAAGATCCTACCTTACGTCAGCATGCAATATACTTTTGTTGCAGTACATGCTTGGGTGCTTCAGACATACTCATACTGACCATCGTATAAAAGGAAGCCTCTAGATCAAGTTGCCTATTGAGCAGAATGAATACAGAGTGAATGATGTCTGAATCTCAATCCCTACACGTCGCAGCTGAAGAAGGTCAGCTGTACACACACACCAGAGTATTTTTGACCCTTTTACGTTCAGGATGGTGCAGTCTCATTGATATATAACTCAAAATGTCAAATTACAGTATCTTTGGTTGGAAATGCGGCTAATCCAAATAAAAGGAGTGAGACCTCATTTTATGCTTAGATATATTTGCCTTCAAAAAACCGAAATTTCAAATTATAGCCGGTGCGCAGGATAACTCTCGAAGGGGATAACCAATTTCATCCAGTAGTAGTGTATCGTACTACATACGATGTCATACACTGAGAATCTATATCTGTCAGCAACATCGACAAACACTTTTTTACAACATTGAAGATGAATATATACCACTCACCTGGCAAGAAAATCCGTAATATAACTACCCAATGGTTTCAATGAGGGATAACTCTTTTTCAGCCAATCACTCGGTAACTTTCCAATAACCATAGAACGATGAGTTCTCTCTAGTTCGGGTATCATTGCTATTTGACCCTGTATAGCTTTTTGTACATTTTGAAGACTTTTTCGTATATATTCCAATAAACGATTGAATCTTCATTTTTGAATATAGGTAAAAAATAGAAATTCTATATTTCAAGCGAATATAAAAACAATGAAGAGACAACTCTACCTTATCAGCTCCTGTCGTAATACAGTGTTCATTGAATTTGTATAGACAACTGGGTATTTTTCTGCAACTTCGTCCACATTGAATGCTTCAGGCAAACGTGACAATATGTCTGTGCATATTTCAAAGGCTGGATCGACTTTTGGGCCATCACCGCTGCGGCTGGTTTTCACCGAAGCCATAAGATCCGTTTGTGTCTTCAAAACACCTTGTATTAGCTTTTCAAGAGAAAAATCGTATTATGTTCATTGTTTTAAATGTGTGTGTGTGGGTTTTTGCATTTTTATTATCAATGTAATATACGAACATTACTCGAATGACTCTATTCGGTTGTTATTACTTACAGCATCCGTTTCCTTGTTGTTGCGATTTATATCGGCATTTTCGTGCAAGCCATAAACTTCCGGATGAGGGCTTAAGGGAAAAGTTTTTATGTACTCCAAGGCATTGACACGTGTTGGATTTAGAGGTATCCTGTAGTTACCAGACTGTGATAGTTGATAACTTGGTGGTCGGACAGAGACAAATATTAATTTTCAGAGGACATAAAATTTTGTGGGTTTATTTGTGGTTATTTGTTGTGAGGATAACATTTATGATATAACAATTGGATATTTTATATTTCTTTATGGTGTCTTTTTAATATATCCGAACTTAAAAACATCTAAAATCATTGGGGGCAAACAACGGAATTTTGGATTGAAAAATTGGGCTAAGTCCTGAACATCCTGTTCTATATAGAAACATGAACTTAAAACCGATATATGAAAAAAATTAACGAGATAGACCCATGATTACTTTTGAGAATATGCATAGAATCAATTGTTGAGTCGATTTATGCATGTCCGTCCAACTGTTGATGTAAAATTGTAAGCATTGTACAGGTCGCACTTAAGATCCGAATGAAACGAAATATGCCACAGCGTATTTGTTTCGCCCAAGGAAGAATCTTATTGATATTGGAGAAAATTGGTTCAGATTTATATAAGCTCCCATATATATTTTCGCCCGATTTTGGTTTTTTTATTGAAATCATTCTCGCATAAGAACGAATTGAGGCCTAATATCCAATGTTTTTATAGCCTTCACCACACTGTGGTACATGGTATTATGTCTTTGTGCATATGTTTGAAACTGGCAAAAGGAACCGGGATAGACCCTTTGTTCCTTTTGGTAATATGCATAGAATTACTTTCAGAGTCGATTTATGCATGTCCGTCCATGTATTTTTGGAATCCGATTTGGATGAAATTTGAAACATGCCACTTATTTGGAGCAAGGACGAACCCAATTGACATTAGAGAATATCGGTTCAGATTTAGATATAGCCTCCATATATAGATTAGTATTATTTTATGTAAATGGTGCGCCAAACTTCCAATATTGGTCCGATTGAAACAAAATTTTGCATAGAGTACTGAATTAGGTCCGATTTTATGTAAATTGAATACCATGCGGCCAATATTGGTGCGATTGAGACAAAAATTTTACACAGAGTACTAACTTAGGTCCAGATAGATGTATGCGATTAGATATAGTTCCCATATATAGTTTAACACGATTTAAAGGAAATGAAGCACCATACTCCCGATATTTGTCCGACTGAGACAAAATTTAGCACAGAGTACTGAATTAGGTCTAGATTGATGAATGCGATGTTTTATTAGAATCGGTTTAGATTTAGATATAGTTCCCCTGTATAGTTTCCTCCGTTTTTACGTAAATGGTGCACCATACTGTCAATATTTGTCCGATTGAGACAAAATTTTGCACAGCGTCCTGAATTTACTGCAGGTCGACCTCCGTGGTTCAGATTTAAAAAGTGCTCACATATATACATATTTTAAAATTTGTCCGCTTAGGATGAATTAGTGCACAACGTACCAAATCGAATCTAGAATAACGTGTATTGGATTCTGTGTCGAGATAAATTTTGGATAGGTCACTGTATTGCAGCATACAAAATGGTGGATGCCACGGTTGCTCAAATACGTTCATTTATATATAGATATTTTGCTCGATGATTGGCATTTCATTTTTCATAATTTTCGGTTGGTATGTATATGGGTTGTTTAAATTTAATTCAAATATCTATGTACGCAGTAAGTTTCGTGCGATTCCATTTTGATGGTCCTTCAAAGATCCTATGTCTATTCTATGTAAACGATGTAAACATATGAGCATCTCAGGTATGTACTCAAAGTGGTGAAAGGTATCATATAGTCGACTCCGTCCGACTTTTGTACTTTCCTTACTGATTCCATATGTTTTACTTTATATTTAATGCGTGTATGTGTGTGTATGAACTTTAGATATTTCACTTACTTGTCAACATCAATAGTATCGGGATTATAGATCATGTTCAGTAATGATAAGATTAAACGGCGATCCTTGTCATCGGTTACACGACCGCCATAATTACATTCACCCGTAAGATAGACATGGCCACGAAACGGAATGCTGTGGCTTTGGGCTATAAACATCTTCAGCTGGAGCAATGAAATTCTGCAAGCAAAACGGCATTGTTAATATATACACAAGACTAAGAACATACAAAACAGAGAGAAAAAAATAATAGTTCATCCGTCTAGTTCCTTATGTGAGGTGAATGAATGAATAAATAGAAAAAATTTTGAGGTGAAATTGGAAAGATTTAACTTAACGTTGAAGAAATTAATTTATTCATAGGGTTTACTCAATCTTAAGCAAAATATAAAATATTCAATATAATAAAAAGTATAATTGTCTTACTTCAAATCCGCTTCGCTAAATTCATACGGTATATTCCAGCCAAGTGGGCCAAATTCACGACGTTCTTGGACAACAGCATGAAAGAAGACCAATGCAAATACGCCACGCAACCAACATTTATTGGCTGTTTCAACATGAACAAATGCATTGCTGAAGAATTTACTGCGCACCAACGGATCCGAATTGAATGACCTCTGCATATTGGCTTTGAGACCTTTGGGTGGTTCGTTTGTCATCTTTACAGAATTTTGTAAAACCGATACCGGGAAAACGGAACTGGGATATGATGTACACCACAAACGATAATCTGGATGAGCGGATTCGGCCAGTGTACTGTCATTGCAAATGCGTTCCAATTCTCCCATCCAGCTTACAGCTACGTGACAATTTTGCAAAACCACCCAGTGTCCATGGCGATTGGCTTCGATTATCATCTTTTCAGCACGTGGTCCTTGTCCTTGGCCCAATGAAATGCTCTTTGTTCTGCAACGAGAAAAAAGATACAACTACAAGAAATATGGCTAGAATGTTATGTCGTTTGCATTGCTTTGTAGATATGGCATAAGTGAATTTTTTAGAAATGAAAACGATGTTTGAAGTACGGTTCTGTAAGTACGTAGAATCGGTAACAATATCTAGAATTACCAATAGCTGGAATTGCAATTATCTTCAATTATCAATAACTGATAATTAGATTTATAATTAGAATTTGTGTATAATTTTCAACCGATTATATGACTTGTTACTTTTGAAGATTCACACAGAATCATATGTATTTTTGAAAAAGTAGGACTTCGTCAATTGTAATTAAATTAGACACAATTCATTCTAATGGCCCAAAGACTCTTGAAAATTTCTCTTGAAATTGGTGAAAATCGAGTCAGATTACAATATAACTCCCATTTATAGTTTCGGTTCAGATTCAGCTATTACTCTTATATATCCCCAACTTTATGTAAAACGGCTCCGATTTAGATATAGCTCTCAAATTTATCCGATTGTATGAAAATGTTGCACCAAAGGCTTGTCGTATTTGGGCGAAATTTTTACATAGCGAATTGAATAATTTCACTATTTTGTAGACATGAAGACATTTATATAGTAATGAATATAGCCCATCATTACTATATAAATGTCTTCAATGTTTCATATGCCAATGATAGCAATTAGTCGACTATTTGAAGCATTCATAATGACATTGTTTTCTATTCTATTTTATGTTCTCGATTTTCAATTAAAAATACATTGTAAAGCTGTTAAAGTGGAATTGCCACAACATCCATACCGAGTAAATTATGTTTGAACAGGACAAAAAAATCCAATGCCACTTCTACTGGTAAATGTTAAAAGTCATAGTCAATAATTCGATCAATTAAATTGTAACGTTCTCAGCACTGTAACAACACCAAGGAGTAGAAAGTAATCAATATTATTTTGCTTCATGTCTAGGGACAATTTATTTCTTCTGTACGAGAACAAAAACATATTAGAAAATTAAAAATAATTTGTTCGTGTCAACTGCGATATATCACAAATGAACATTTTTTTAAATGATGTCTATGGTTCACTGTTATAACACATGAAATTTTACAAAAAAGAAAAAAAAAACAAGTAAAGAAAGTAGTAAAGTCGGACGGGGCCGACCATATGATACCCTACACAACTACCACGGAAACCGAACTTTCTGCGGATGTTTATTCCGAGCCTGGGCAATATTTCGTGATAATTGCATCCTCTTGCCCGATTAGAGGTAAGCAGCACCTCTTCCTTACACTGACATATTTTCCGAATATTACGAGTATTCAGTACATCTATTGTCCAGATTCCTTTCACCGTGGGTTGTGTTGTGATGTTCGGCTTTCATTTGTGGTCTATAGATCGACTCGAAAATAACACAAAAAATTAAGTTTTCGTTCCACTTCATCCCAAAATTATTTTCTGATCATCACCGAAAGTTATAGGCGTTGTCCCTGACCATAACTGGAATCTCATGGAAATTTTCAAAGCGATCAGCGCTATATTTCCGCCCTCTAGTGTGGTTTTGGGTTACTAAATAATGTCTGAATACGTAAGAACCTGTAAATATTTAAGTGTAGCTCCCACATCTGAGTATATACGACCCTATAATTGGTATCAATTTAAATGTCAACCACTCCTCTTTAACATACTATCAACTTTTTGGGTCTATGTCCTTCAGGGGCAAATATATACGCCATAGAATACAAATGTTGTCATTTTTCACACAAAAATCAGGGTCCATTTGACCCGCTAAATATTGACCTATCTTTTTCAAAACAGGCACACTTTTTCTTTGGTCCGATCCCCTTCTCCATGCAAAAATTCGCGGTGTTTGAGCCATAATTGCGGCCTCTGGAGCGACCAGAAAATCAGACAAAAATAAAGTTTTTGGTCCATTTCATCCCCTAATTATTAACCGATCAGTAGGGGTCTTTATTGGCCAGAACCCATTCTACATGCAAAATTTCGTGAAGATTGGTCCATAATTGTGGCCTGTATCGTGTTTACAAATTATAATGGACAGACGGACGGACGGACACACATGTCTAGATGGATCAGCTAGTCGAGATATGACGATCGGTATACTTAAAGGTTGGTCCAGGACCAATATTTCGCGGCGTTACAAACTTTTGGGGCTGCACAAAGCTATAATACCCTGACAACTAGTTGTGTAGGGTATAACAAGTAAGGAAAGTAGTAATGTCGGACGGGGCCGACTATATAATACCCTTCACCACTTTGGGTATATTCAAAAGATGAATCCTAACAGACGTCGCATTTTTAAAGGACCAGCAAAATGAAATTGGAATCATAAACATGTCATTCTGCAACCTATACTAATTTTTTCATTTGGTCAGATAAAGAAGCTATATCTAAATCTGAACCGATTTCAACGATTTCAGGAAATTTAACACACACCATTCTAGACCTAATTCATTACGCTGTGCCAAATTTCGTGCAAACCGAAAGATATTAAGGGGTTTTGGTACACCATTTACCTTAAATTGGACGAAAATATATATGGGAGCTATATCAAAATCTGAATCGATTTTCACGAAACTTAAAACACATCATTCTGGACCTAATTCATTACGCTGTGCCAAATTTCGTGCAAATCGAACGAAAATATATGTGGGAGCTATATCTAAATCTGAACCGATTTTCATGAAACTCAGCAAACATTATTCTAGTCCTAATTCATTACGATGTGCCAAATGTACAAATCGAAAATATATAGGGACTTTGGTGCACCATTTAAAATTAAATCCGACGAAAATATATATAGGAGCTATATCTAAATCTGAACCGATTTTCACCGAACTCAGCACACATCATTCTAGGCCTAATTCATTAAGCTGTGCCAAATTTCGTGCAAATCGAAAAATATATAGGGACTTTGGTGCACCATTTACATAAATTTGACGAATATATATATGGGAGCTATATCTAAATCTGGACCGATTTTCACCAAACTCAGCACACATCATTCTGCACTTAATACAGAACGTTCTGCCAAATTTCGTACAAATCGAATGATATATAGGGACTTTGGTGCACCATTTACGTAAAATCGGACGAAAATATATATGGGAGCTATATCTAAATCTGAACCGATTTTCAGGAAACTTAACACACATCATTCTCTACATCATTCATTAGGTTGTGCCAAATTTCGTGCAAATCGAAAGATATATAGGAACTTTGGTGCACCATTTACATAAAATCGGACGAAACTAAATATGAGAGCTATATATGGGCAATATTGCCAATTTTTTAATATTCCATTTTCAAAAAATCAGCTTTTTTGTTTTTGTGGCACATCAATGATTTTTGGTACACATATAGAGAAAAATGTTCTGACTCCGAAACCGTTCGCGATCAAATTTTTGGTTGATGCGCGCAAAAGTTATCGAGGTTTTAATTTTGGGCATAAGAAAAAATCTTAAAATTACGCCGTTTATTATATTGACCAAAAACTTTGATATATATCTTCCTTCGTAAAATTAGAATATGAATATATTATAATAATCGCGAAAAAGTTGCACATCTTCGCGAAATATGAGAAAAATAATAAAAATATAGGAGATTACGTCAATATTTTCATTATATTAATGACATACACACACTTAAAAATTAATTGAAAAATATCTACATAATCTAAACTCCATGATGAATCAAATGATATCAAAATCACACAAGTCCGTGTAGCGGTTTGTAAATTACAGCGACAACAAAACAAGATATTGAGGAAAAATATTTGTTTTTAGTTCGAAAAAATAATGTCATCATATTTCTTTTTTTAATTGTATACAAGAAATTTCAGAGAAAAATGTTGGGGTTATTCTGCTATTTTACCCGAATTTCGCCGAAAAATTGACATATTTAATAGTAATAACTTTTTGTGTATAATTATACGCCTTGCGGATTATATCAAGACACTTTCGATAAATCTTAGAATTCTATAAATAGGAATAAATCTTAAAATAAAATAATATTATCAAATATACATTTTAAATTGCGTCTAAATCGCGTAATTCTCAAAATCATCTGATGCGCATGCGGTTTTCAGGAAGTACTGAAGTTTATCTTCCAATCCATACATATTTTGCGAAATTTCATTTGACGGCTAAGATGTGCCACACGTTACATTGAAGTACCCAAAAAATCGTAAAACGCGAATAATTTCCGAAAACTCCATATGCCATTATAGCGCATCCGATTTTGGTGTGCACCCTAAAAAAATACATCGATCTATACCGATTTCAATGTGGTCCATTAAGAACCATGGATGTGCCAGCTCACACTATTTTTGAGATAAATTGCGTCTAAATCGCGTAATTCTCAAAATCTTTTGATGCGCATGCGGTTTCCAGGAAGTACTGAAGTTTATCTCCCAATCCATACATATTATGCGAAATTTCATTTGACGGCTAAGATGTGCTGCACGTTACATTGAAGTACCCAAAAAATCGTAAAACGCGAATAATTTCCGAAAACTCCATATGCAATTAACGCGCATCCGATTTCGGTGTGCACCCTAAAAAAATACATCGATCGATACCATTTCAATGTGGTCCATTAAGAACCATGGATGTGCCAGCACAATCTATTTTTGAGATAAATTGCGTACATCTATCTTTCGGCTGAAGTTTTTAAAGTTCTCTTTTCGAAAAAGATCAAAATCCGTAAGAGGTCATTTATTGAAGCTAAAATGATACACAGAAAACGCAAATAAATCCGCGACATTTTCAAAAACATTTTTTTGCCAAATTTCGTGTTTTTGGAAGGCCAGTTCCCGCCGTTCTAGTAGATGGATTTTCACGAAGAAGATTTTATATCATCCGAAACGTAAAAAACCTTATTGATCGCAGGTATCCATTTCATTCAGTTGACAGATCTAAAAATTTGGTCGGAAAAATAAGTTTTTTAGAAATTTGATCGCACAAAATTCGCACCTTGGGATGAGTATTACTCTGATGCTGTGCATACTACATACACAAAATACATATCAAATTACGCAGATTCGCGACTACAATAATCTTATAATCGATTTTTATAAATTCCTGTTTGCGTATTAAAGCTAGAAGTAAAATTAAAAAAACACTCAAAATCTAGCTTCAAAATGTCAGCATCATTTAAAGGTAGATGCAGTTAAAATTTTGAAAAATGATACATAAGGGGCGTAGTCCCCATTTTGTTGGCTTCTAGTTTTCTTTTGACACGAAGACCGTGCAATGAGTGGCTTAGTCACAAATCGATAGAGAACATAAAAAAATTGGTTCGCCTCAACCTGTTTTTACACATTTTTTTACATTAAAGTAGATACAGTTTCCACCAAAATAAAGTTTTGAGGTCAATATCATGAATAGTTTGCAACGACAGATCAATTAACCCAAAACTATTCACTTTGTTTCATATACTTAAGTAGTTCCCGAGTTATAAAGGGGTGAACCACCGCTTCAGCTATGTTAAAAAATTGGCAATATTGCCCATATAAACATATGAATTTTGAAATGTGTATAAATCGTAAAATTTATTCGATGCGCAAGCGATTTCCCTGAGAATCCGATTCTTATATTTCAATCTGTGTCCGTTCATCATCCGTTCTTCTGTCGGTCCATGTATTTTTTGTATACAAAAATTCAGTATCTCAATGAGATAAACTTGACGGGTCTCATTTATTTGGCCCAATGACATATCCTACTACAAAATCCCAAAGCTTTTTCCAATTGCAATAGCATTTTGTACAGCGTTCCAGATTGAGGCTGAATTGACGTGTATAAAATGTTGTAGGAATTTTTAATTTTATCTAAATGACCCACCAACATGTCACCGATTGTAATTGTACAAATGTTTGTTTAAATCGGTTTAGCGTGAGATGTGTGTAGCTCCTATGTGCATTGTCAGTCGATTTCTTCTAAATGGTGCAGAAAATTCCCCAGTTTACCCTATATTGTGTACAATGACGTGCATTATGTTCTGCTGAAGTCGGTTTATCTTCAGGTTTAGGTTTCTAAATATATATGCCACCAATATTTTGTCAATGTATTATACTTTACACTATCAAGCTTTATCTAAATTTTAAAATTACGGTTCCTAAAGACAAATTGATACAAAACTACATATTGCATATACCTGCCATAATGATTCCCTTACTATTAAATGGTGAACCTCGGTTTCAGTTATTAAAAAAAATAATAATAAATAATTTAAAAAAATTAGTTTTCCGACTGCTAAAAACGCATTTCCATGTGAATAACTGTCGTCCGTTCGTTCTTACGGTTTCTCGTTCGCAATGAAGAGACAGGCTGTAAATGTCATATATTTGTGTGTTCTGCAAACATGTAGCACAAAGTGAAGTGTTGAAAGATGTCTTTGCCAAATAGTACAGTTAAAATTAAAAAGGATGTATTTCCCATTTGTGATGAACTGGCCAATGGACATCATAAGACCAATTATCCCAACAAGCATATAATCATTGACAAAGGTGTTTATTTTTGAGTGAAAATAAATTACAATATGACTTTATGAAATTAATTGTTTACATAGTCATAAACAATTACTTACTGAATCGATGCAAAAAAAAATCAGTAAGGAAAGTTCAAAAGTCTGAAGGGCCCGACTATATATATTATATATATATATATACTACATCTGTTCCAAGTTTAACTTCTTCATCGATCTTCACCGATCATACAATATTTAAACGTCATACGAACGTCCCAAAATTTGGAATCAGTTGGGTCATTCGTTTTTCAGTTATCGTGACCGTGTTTTCAGAAAAACGCGTTTAAAGCTTGAGAATCACTCTGGTTTTCACTTGATGTTGGACAATGAATCTGCTATATCTTCAAGAGTTGTTGAGATTTTCACTTGAAATTTAATAGGGGCATTATTGAATCAGTGTAGGTTCGAATTAAATCAAAACACAAAATTATTATTGTACAAACTCCTAATACAAATTTAAAACGCATTACTCCAGCCTCCATTTGAAATGAAAATGTCTTCTTAATCGAGAAATCGTTGGTAATTTAGATCAAATCAGACGAAAATCTATTTGGGAGATATACAAAATTGCGCTGTTGAGTCGGCTGATTCAAACTTTTGATATTATGAAGTGTGCATTAATAATTCTTAATTCCATCGAAACTTGTTGGGGTTGAAGGAAGATACCAAAAATTGGAGATTTGAGATTCCCCAAAAATAAACTACCTCTTTTCGTTATTTATACATGGTTTCCAAACGAACTGAAATCCTTAGAGAATTTAAAATATTTCAGCTTCTATTCTCCTATGCAAAATTATAAATATGTATTCTACATTTTAAGATTTATTGAAACGGTTTCCAAAGGAATTAATGGTAATTTGATATTTTGGTTTGTAATTAGACAGAAAGTTTCCATAGTAAAAATAATAATTATTGGTCCAGGTTTAGATATGGATCCAAATTTTAAGGATTTCATTTTCTATATTATCAATTTAAAAATCTCAATATCCGTTCATCCCACTACAGATGTATACTATATTTTATCACGCTACAAACGATACACCCTTCAAGTGCAGAGAACTACATTGTTAAAATTAATTGACTTACTTGTCGTACATATTCCGTTGTTTGGCATACATAAAAAGACTGGACATCGGATCAGAACCAGGCGACAATAAAAACACCAAAGGTATCCTAGGCGAGCTATCAGCAAACGATTCATCCAAATCGAATGGAGGCGGTTCCACAAAGGAGCGATCCATATTACGAGTTATAAAGGACTACAAAAAAGAGATGACAATAAAAAAAACGAACAGAAACCATACATCACAGTTAATTAAATTTTATTTGAGCAGTTTGTGAAATCAACGATAAATGCTTTAAAGCCGGTCTATTTAAATGGCTGGGATGGGATATAAAAAATAATGGTTAAAAACGTAATGTGAAAAAGCGTTAAGTTCGGCCGGGCCGAACTTTGGATACCCTCCACTATAGATATATTGACAGATACTTGAAATGAAAATATAGGGAACATAACAAAAAGTGGACCCCTACCGACATTTTTACAAACCGATTATGTAAATCATAATGTACCCCAAATACAAATTTCAGCTTATGGCTAATGGAAGTGTATACACTTTGATACAGTGAAAATTTGCCTTATCGAAATATTGGTTCCAGACCCCCCTTTGGACCAAATCCGTTTAAAAAATGTTTGATTTCTTAGTTTATTCTTCTTCTTTCTTCTTTTCTTAGTTCAAGTTCGAAGATGGGCAATATCGGTCCACTCCTTCTGGTACGTCAAACACAGGGGCTAGGCCTAAATGCCCGGAACAAATCGGTTATATAGGGACTACCCCAAAAAGCGGGCGAATATTAATAATTTTTGCTGGAGAGATTTGTTACCATATACGACTACAAAATACCAAATTGCAGCAAATTCGGTTAAAAAAACACACTCAAGAACCCCAAAATACCGAAAATTAGGGGTACCCTTATATGGGGGCTATCCGAAAAAAATGACCTATAATCATAATTTTTGGTGGAGAGATTTGGTACCTATTAATAACTCAAAATTCTTGTGGATTTTTGTTTTGGCTCTAGGTCAATTGAAAAGCTCGTTGTTTATGTTTTTCTTTTTTTTGTTTATTTTTATTTTCCAATATTTCGACTGTCTTCGGCAGTCATCTTCAGGGAAATACTACAAAACATACAAATATTTTAAAGATATAGACTTAATTGTATTGCACAGATCTTACTTTTATGAGAAAAGCAACCGATTTTCATCACCGTCTATGCTAAACTAAGTTTTTCTTTTTTCTCGTCTGTGCTTATGAACTATGTTTCTATAAATATGTGCACAGTGGTCCGTGTCAGTCTTATAATTCATTCTTCTATCGTTAGGTACATTAATTATGTTTAACATTTCTAATGTGAATCGTCGTTTATAATTATTTTCTTGTGTCAATATGTCCACGTCTTTAAAATTCGGTGTATGTCCAGTTTTTGTGCAATGTGCAGCAAGCGCCGTTTTTTGCTCTAAAGGTTTGTCTGAATTTTGATCTGACTTATGTCCAGAAAGTCTAGTCTTGAGTTTAGTTTTTGTTGTACCAACATATACCTTTTGGCATACGTTGGATTTGTCCCCATTACATTTTATCTTATACACTACATTGCATTTGTCTTCCTTTTTAATTTTTGATTTTATTTTGCTGAACAGGCTATTGACGGTATTCTTCGATTTTAAGGCTAATTGATAATTGTTCTTGTCATATATATTGGAATTACGTAATCTCTCAGACAGTCCAGGTATATAAGTCAATGTTTTGTATGCTTTTTCCTCTTCTTTCTTCTTTCCGTTCTTGTGATTGGATGTTTTTAGTAATTCGTCAATAGTTCTCTGTGGGAAATCATTTTTCCTCAGTATATTACGTATCCTTTCTTTGTTCTTTTGGTGGAATTGTTCGTCGCTAATATCAAGTACTCTGTTGATGAAGTTTGTGGCCGTATTTATTTTTATTCGTCTAGGGTGCTTAGAGTAAAAGTTTATTAATCGTCCAGATGCGGTGGGCTTTTGGTACCAATCTATTGTTAGTTTTTGGCCCTGTCGGATTATTATTGCGTCAAGATAAGGCAATTTTTCGTTTTCTTCCAATTCGTGCGTAAATTGCACATGTTTGTCAAAGGAGTTCAGGATATTTAATGTATTCTCGATCTCTGTTCTTTTCACTATGCAAAGTATATCGTCTACATATTTCGTAACTAATTTTGGTTTATTTGTCAATTTCTCCATTGAAGCGTCCAATAACTCCTCCATTACTATATCTGCAATAATCGGTGACGCTGGAGAGCCCATTGGAAGTCCTTTTCGCTGTTCGTACACCTTGTCCTCATATATGAAATATCTTGAGTCTTTTATACAAAGAGTCAATATTTCGATGAAGAGGTCCTGTGGTATTTTTGTGTATTCCTTAATTATGTTCCATTTTTCGGTGATTGTCCTCAATGCTAAATTTATAGGTATACTAGGAAATAGCGAGATAACGTCAAATGATAGTAGAACTTCGTCTTCGTCAATATTTATATCTTTAATTTTTCTTTTCATTTCAACGGCGTCTTTAATGTTATATATAGAATCTTTAGTTAAATTCTTTAAAATATCCACTATGTATTTTGAGAGCTCATATGTTGGGGAGTTAATGGATGAGCATATTGGTCTAAGTGGTATTCCTTCCTTATGTATTTTGGGTAGTCCGTAAATTCGTGGTGCAATTGCTGTGTATGTCATTATTTTGTTTTTCTCATATATATTTAAAATGTTCATACCGTATAATTTTTCGGTAAGCTTATTATTTTTGTTTTGTAAATTAGATGTTGGGTCCCGTTTTAATCTTTTATATGTACACATGTCTCGTAATATATCCTTCATTTTTGTTCCATAGTCGTTTTTGTACATAGCCACTGTTTTTCCCCCTTTATCCGCATTCAATATTAAAACATCTTTGTTTTGTTTCAAAAATTGTTTTGTTCTACCCACTGTGTCAATTATCATCTTATCTCTTATACTCAAGTTTGTCCGTTTTAAGTGGTCGTCAATTAGAGAGACTAGTTTTATTCTCGCGTTTTCCTGATATTCTTTGTTACTCAATGTTTGTACGCATTCCTCGCTCTCTGCTATTACGTCTAATAAAGGGAATGTTGTTTTTGTTGTGGGACATGCATATTTTGGTCCCAACGAAAGAAGCCACTGAACATCGTTAGGTATGTTTGTGTTCGTGTTGTTTGTAAACCACTCATTGTTTTTTACTCTTTTTACTCTAAGCACCCTAGACGAATAAAAATAAATACGGCCACAAACTTCATCAACAGAGTACTTGATATTAGCGACGAACAATTCCATCAAAAGAACAAAGAAAGGATACGTAATATACTGAGGAAAAATGATTTCCCACAGAGAACTATTGACGAATTACTAAAAACATCCAATCACAAGAACGGAAAGAAGAAAGAAGAGGAAAAAGCATACAAAACATTGACTTATATACCTGGACTGTCTGAGAGATTACGTAATTCCAATATATATGACAAGAACAATTATCAATTAGCCTTAAAATCGAAGAATACCGTCAATAGCCTGTTCAGCAAAATAAAATCAAAAATTAAAAAGGAAGACAAATGCAATGTAGTGTATAAGATAAAATGTAATGGGGACAAATCCAACGTATGCAAAAAGGTATATGTTGGTACAACAAAAACTAAACTCAAGACTAGACTTTCTGGACATAAGTCAGATCAAAATTCAGACAAACCTTTAGAGCAAAAAACGGCGCTTGCTGCACATTGCACAAAAACTGGACATACACCGAATTTTAAAGACGTGGACATATTGACACAAGAAAATAATTATAAACGACGATTCACATTAGAAATGTTAAACATAATTAATGTACCTAACGATAGAAGAATGAATTATAAGACTGACACGGACCACTGTGCACATATTTATAGAAACATAGTTCATAAGCACAGACGAGAAAAAAGAAAAACTTAGTTTAGCATAGACGGTGATGAAAATCGGTTGCTTTTCTCATAAAAGTAAGATCTGTGCAATACAATTAAGTCTATATCTTTAAAATATTTGTATGTTTTGTAGTATTTCCCTGAAGATGACTGCCGAAGACAGTCGAAATATTGGAAAATAAAAATAAACAAAAAGGAAAAACCAAAACCAACGAGTTTTTCAATTGACCTAGAGCCAAAACAAAAATCCACAAGAATTAACATATCACAGGTCAACAATAACAACAACAACATAACTCAAAATACTAAATTACAGCCAATTCGGCGAAAAAATACGATAAAAACTCCCAAAATACTGAAAATTAGGAGGTACCGTTATATGGGGGGTATCAGAAAAAGTGGACTGATATGTATTATTTTTAGTGGAGATATTTGGTACCCAATAGAAACCCAATGTATAAAATTTTAGTGAATTCGGTTGAACAACGCGTTCAAGAACCCCAAAATCCCGAAAACTGGAGGGTACCCTTATATGGGAGCTATGCCTAAACGTGACCCGATAAATCCCATCTTCGAACTTGACCTGCCTGCAGACAAAAGACTCTATGTAAATTTTGGTGATCTATCTCAATTCGTTTAGACGCTAGAGTGATTACAACAGACAGACAGAGTGACGGACATGGCTATATCGTCATAGAATTTTACGCTGACCAAGAATCTATATACTTTATAGGGTCGAAAATGATTATTTCGATGAGTTACAAACGGAAACACAAAATTAATATACCCTCCATACTATGGTGGAGGGTATAAAACATAAAATAAATTAATGTTGACAGGTATTGTAATATTTTATTTTTATACCCTCCACCATAGTATGGAGTGTATATTAGTTTTGTTTTTCCGTTTGTAACGAATCGAAATAATCATTTCCGACCCTATAAAGTATATATATTCTTGATCAGCGTAAAATTCTATGACGATCTAAACATGTCCGTCTGTCTGTCCGTCTGTTGTAATCACTCTAGCGTCTAAACGAGTTGAGATAGATCGCCAAAATTTTGCACAGAGTCGTCTTTTGTCTGCAGGCAGGTCAAGTTCGAAGATGGGATATATCGGTCCACGTTTAGGCATAGCTCCCATATAAGGGTACCCCCAAATTTTCGGTATTTTGGGGTTCTTGAGCGCGTTTTTCAACCAAATTCGCTGAAATTTGCTACATTGGGTTCGGATTGGGTACTAAATGTCTCCACAAAAAATTATAAATATAGTTCCATATTTTGGGATAGCCCCCATATAAGGGTACGCCCAATGTTGCGGTATTTTGGGGGGTTTGATCGCATTTTTCGACCGAATTCGCTGAAATTCGGTACTTTGAGTTATTATTAGCAAATCTCTATACTAAAAATTATAAATGTAGGCAAATTTTTTCGGGTAGCCCCCATATAAGGGTACCCCCCAACTTTCGGTATTTTAGGGTTCTTGAGCGCGGTTTCAACCGAATTCGCTGAAATTTGGTACATTGGGTTCTTATTGGGTACCAAATGTCCCCACTAAAAATTTTAAATATAGGTCCACTTTTTATGGTAGCCCCCATATAAGGGTACCTTCCAATTTTCAGGTTTTGAGGGGTTTTGACCGGATTTTTCACCGAATTGCTTGTAATTTAGTAATTTGAGTTCTTATTGGGTAGCAAATCTCTCCACAAAAAATTATAAATATAGGTCAATTTTTTCGGGTAGCCCCTTTATAAGGGTACCCGCAATTTTCGATATTTTGAGGTTCTTGAGCGCGTTTTTCAACCGAATTCGCTGAAATTTGGTATTTTGTAGTCGTATATGTTAACAAATCTCCCCACAAAAATTATTAATATTCACCCGTTTTTAGGGGTAGTCCCCATATAACCCCCTTTTTTATATTAAAATAGTTATCTGATTTGTTCCGTGTGTTGCGGTTGGGTAGTCGTTACGGGGAATAGTCAATTTTTAGCCTACATAGACAGTTTAGCCATCTGTTGTAAGCATTCCGCCTTCTAAAGATATTGTGATAAAAAAACTCAAATATGACGATAATGAAATATATCGGTAGACATTTAGGCATCACCTCGATATAGTGATACCTCCTGAAGGAAAGAATTGAGATAAACAATTAAAATATTGGGTTCAAAATTGGCATATACAGGTCATCAGTTGTAAGCATTCCGCCTTTTAAAGATATTGTGATAAAAGAAAACACAAACATGACGATAATGAAATATATCGGCAGACATTTAGGCATCTCCTCAATATAGTGATACCTCCTGAAGGAATGAATTGAGATAAACTATTAAAATATTGGGTTTAATATTGGCATATACCAGCCATTAATTAGGCATAGCCCTCATATAATGATATCCCCAAATATTCACTATTTCCTACACTATGTAATCAATATTGGTCCCCCTTTAGGTATATACCCACTTTTTGGTATGTTCCCTATATGGTCATTGTATGTATCTGTCAGTATAACTATGGTGGAGGGTATCCAAAGTTCGGCCCGGCCGAACTTAACGCTTTTTCACTTGTTTTAATTCATATTACCTTAAATATTTAAAGCTTATTTTTGTTTACACTTTAAAACAATTCTGTAATATGTTCGATAGTTTCTATTTTTTATCATAGTGTCCACTCACCCTTACTGCTGGCACAACCTTATCCGGTCTCAGTGATTTGAGTATTATTAAACCCAACATTTCGTCAATGCTATCGTATGGTGATGGAAATTTGGCTTCTTCGGGCGATTGCAGATCATAATATGTTTTCCATGCAGAAATGTCGGATTGAAAGATTTTGTAAAAACCTTGCAATCTGCATTTGCATTTGAATATGAAAAGTAAATTAATTTATTATTTACACACATAACACATGGCAGGTAATTCTAAATATTTTTGGTGTATCTGCACAATTTTGTGTTTATAAATTTAAATAGAAATTTGATTCTTATTTTTTCTTTATTTATTTTTTTATTAAAACAATTTCGCATATCTTCAAACAAATCACAGTGTAACTGTACAATTTTATTTCTAGGTTTTGTGCTAATACTATGGTCGCTACAATATCTTAAGAAAATAATTTTGAATGAAATGTGCAGTGTTTTTTTTTCGAGAAATGTATGCTGTCCTGTATAATAAATTACTTACCCATCCAAGTTGCTGGCAAGAACTATTTGAAACCAAGCCTTTTCAGGCAGCCATGACGATGCTGGATTAGCTGGAATGCTTTGTAGACCAACGCCTCCCGTTAAAAAGAACAGCAAATGGGATTTATTTATTTTACCCTTGTTTTTTTTAAGCAATTGCATTTTTCCATTCCGTTTTGTAATTAAGCCGGAAAACGGTTGAAGGGGGAATATGTTGTTGTTAATAGGGATAAAAAGGGGGAAAACGAACGAATAATTTAAATTCACTGAACATTTGATTGTAATAATTAAGGATTAGACAAATTTATTTGATTGACAAAGGGTAATTTAAAAAAAATCAATAGTAAAAAATGAAAAATAGGATGATTTCGGTAAATGTTCAAAATAAACCAGTAAGGAAAGTTCAAAAGTCGGACGGGGCCGTACATGATACCCTTCACCTCTTTGGGTACATACAAGAGATGCAAATATATTGTAGAACAAACTTAGCATCTTTGGAGGACCATTGAATTGGAATCGGGCGAAATTAAATGAAGTAGTAAACTCGGACTGGACCGACTATACCACTCGAAGGAACATACTCATGTCTCTCTGCAACCTATGATAAATTTAATTTCATTCGGGCAGATTTAGACCATTTTACCATTTTCATTAAAATGGACGAAAATATATATGGGAGCTATATCTAAATCTGAACCGATTTTCACGAAACATAGCACACATCATTCTAGAGTTAAGTCAGTACGATGTGCCAAATTTCGTGCAAATCGAAAGATATGTATGGTCTTTGGTGCACCATTTACATTGAATCGGACGAAAACAGATATGGGAGCTATATCTAAATCTGAACCGATTTTCATGAAACTTAACACAAATCATTTCGATTTTCGACATCATTCTAGACTTTTTTTAGATTTTTACAAAACTTCGCAGACATCAAAATTGACTTAATTTAGTACGCAGTGCAAAATTTTGTCTCAATCGGACAAATATTGGGAGTTGGGCACACCATTTAGATAAAATCGGGTGAAAATATATATGCTATATCTAGATCTGAACCGGATGGAAAGACGGACATGGATAAATCGACTCAGAAAGTGATTCTATGCAATTCTCAAAAGGAACCATGTGTCTATCTCGTTTACTTTTGCCTGTTACAAACATATGCACAAAGACATAATACTCTGTACCACAGTGTGGTGAAGGGTATAATGATTTGAGTACGTTTTGCAATCGTATTCGCTGTAAGTTGTATCAAATCACCAATATTGATACCCGTTTTGGTATACTGCATTATTTGACAATCATCCGCCTTTTCTCACGCCTTTTTCGGTATAATCAAGGTCCTATCATAACATAAGTTTTCTCCTAGGAACCTCCATCCCCCATTTAAATCCTTTAAATATCTCAATATAATAAAAAATTGACTAAACGATTCATATGTTCTGATAAAGCCAACGTTCAATTTTAGGTAGTTTAATGGTGATTTTTCTAACAGTTTCCCACGTTCATTACAGCAAATAGACTATTTAACGATATAGGCCTGCCGATATACTTGATGGATTTTTGTGGCTATGGTCTTAGATAGTTCATGTTGTAAACTTAATATGACAACAAAACTTAAATATTCACTTTTTAACCTCCAACTTTTGAAAATAGAATTCAATACGTGATTTGTGGTAGCATATTAACGTGGTTTAGTATTCATGTAACATCACTTAGTGTAGGCTATGTATTTCGATCCGGCCGAAATTATAACAGTTTATATTTTAAAAAATCTGCTTAAACATTTTATTCCTTCAATTGCATTCGACGGTATTACTTAAGTAATATACATACTTACCCGCGATAGCTGTATGCCCAAACACATCACCAGCGATATAACTAGTTTATCTTTCTCAAACAGCGAACGACACACATTCTGATATATGGACTTCGTAAAGTAATTATTCAAATGTTCCAAACGTTCGTCCAGCTGCGATGACTTGGGCGCCTTTAGAATTGCATTAACGAAGAGATTGAAAAACCATCCCAGGGAATATTGGTACATTGGGTCGATGTTTGCCAATTCACTGATGCAGAAGAACAGTATGGCCGAATGTTTGGCCACTGGTATGTAACGTTGTCGTGCTTCGTCAATTTCCGTTTCGGTTGCCACCGCAATGACTTGTTTCTCTTGAATTTGCTCCGACAAAACTTTGCTCGACGACAGAATATTAATGGCATTTTCATCTTCCAATACATTGCCTTCGGATGTTGAAAGAACCTAGGGATGGTAGATAAAAGTAGTTAATCCATTAGCAGACGTAAACTGTGGCTCTTCATTGCATTCGTAATGGTTTCGTGGAAGTAAATGCGATTTTCATAAAATAATGATAAGCACTCGAAAATCTCTTAATAATACCAATTAAGTATGGCGCGCTGAATGTTATGAAGCTACTTTTCCATATGTTCAAATGCTCGTATGTGGAAAGCTACGTTGGCGGCCTGGGTGAAAATTTTCAATTGATGTTATTCGTTATTACATAACTGTACAAATCAAAATCTTTTAAGTCGCCGAGTAAGGAAGGATATGTTAAGTGCAGTATTAAAATTGAACGGTATGAGATACACGGTTATCGTAATTAACCCTTGGGGAAAATACTGAAGTTGGATGGGGTCGACTATATGATACCCTACCAGAAATTTGCATATATACAAGGGGTGCTCTAAAAATCGTAGTGTAATGCATTATCTATACTAATAAAAGAGCAAAGTGATTGACTGACTGACTTAACGAGATTTGAGCTATTTAAGAAGTTTTGGAAATTCCGAGTAATGTGAACTACATTTGGTACAATTTATTTATTGAGTGAACCGCTGTAGGATGTTTTGAAAAATTGTACTAAATGGTACCTAATGTAAATTTGATTGAACCGATAGACCTGGAATCTTGAAATTTGATGTTAGGATCACTGTTGGGTTGGTTGTAGGATTGGGGTATGTAGAAAGTTTTGGAAATGTTGTCAAATTTTGATTTTGGTGAACCAATAGAGCTGGAATCTTGAAATTTAAAGTTGGGGTCACTGTTGGGGTATAGGATTGGGCTATGTAGAACGTTTTAAACATTTGTACTAAATGGTACCAAATTAGGAATCCTGGAATCTTGACATTTGAAGTTAGTATCACTGCAGGGGTGTTGGATTGTGGTATGTAGGAAGTCATGGTACAATTATAGAAGGTAACAGCAAAACACAGCTGATTTGATTCCAACGTAATGCTAGTGTCAATATAAATATGACAAGTTATGTTTTTAAAAATCACCCAACAGGAAAATTGGGAACGCATACAATTCGATTTTTTTCTTTATTAAATGTCGATTTACTCAATCTGCCTGCTGGGAAAGTTTGAGGAAGCACATCTTTCTTCGTGGAATAACTAGCATTTCCCATCATTTTCATATGTGTTACACATATAAATGGCAATTTCTCAATCAATAAAAGATGTGGAAGCGATAGAAATATACGCCCATGTGACATGTTCCAAGAGTTTTTGAATTCCCATACTTTTTTAAATTCCCATGTTGTGCAAAATGGTGTGCTCAATTTCGAGCGATAGTGCGACTCGAAAGCATAACTGTGTTCAATATGTTACGAAATGTGTTCAATAAAAAAACATATGTTTCATTGGAATTAGCAATTTGTTTACAAACAAAATTAAGAAAAAATATGACTGCTGGCTTATTAATTGCCCTGGTTTCTACCAGAAAAAGACTAATGATACTGGAACGTGTTAAAATAAGAATTTATGGATATTTTGAGAGAAGTGGGTCCTTTCATACACAAGGGTGCCATTCCCGAAAGCCTCCAGTTAGCAGGTATCTTAAGATTTCTGGCTGTTTCAGAGGGTAGTGCCAAATGATTTAAATATATGTGTTGATCGCACAACAATGTGTAAAATATTGTGGAGAGTAATGAAAGTCCTGAAAGACAAAGTGTGTGCAAGCTGTGGACACCTGCAGACCAGGATCCAGCCATGATGCTTTTTTTTGGCATATGAATGCAGCTAGGCAGCATTAACAAAAGGGGAAATGGTACGCAAAATAGTTGGCTTCTATGAGACAGTGGTTACGCTTTAGAAAAATAAAAATATTTTGATCATATGGTGGTTGAGTTGCCAAATTGATCTCAAAAATTTTACGCGCTGTTTTTGAAAAAAAGAGCCCTTTTTTATTTTCTTTAATTTTACTATAAAAACTAATGTAAATACTGTATTTTTTAAATAAATATTGTAAAAACACGTTAAATATTACTTCAGCGTTCTTTTTAAACTTGTACGTACTCAGAAAAACACGTACGATCTCATTTCGTTTTCAATCCACAAGGCTATATGTGCTCGAATTATACTCCCAATATTTTTTTGGGAATTCAGAAAGGAGCACACCATATTTGGGAAAATGTTTCACATTCGAGCAAACTCGAAATGCAGCACATGGGCGATAAATTTCATAGATTTTCATTTATGTTTTTCAATTTTTTTTTGAGGATTCGAAAATATTACATTTTCAAAATAAATAAAATTTGTTGATAATTTGTTTACATTTTTCTGTCAAATGACGTTGACACACTAGTATAACTTACAACAACAAATTTACATGTGGTTGTTGTATCGTTTGTTGTACAACAACAACTTGCTGTTACCTTCTATTCCCAGTAGAGAATATTCCCTTGCGTGACAATTTCATTGACGAAACGTTGACGAAATTTATGGAATTGTCATTCATGACTAAACACATGATATGTCGTCGAAAATATCGTTCTTCTCGAAATATGAAAACAAAACAAAAATAATCTGAATCGAGTGTACTATGAAATATTGACAGAAACGAAGAGAAAAATGTTTCTGAAAAAATATATAAGAAATTTAGGTTAAATTTAAATATATAAGAATTAAGAATCTCGGTTAAAATAGGTAAGCTTAACTGAATATATAATTATTTGTATCATTTCTTAAATGTTTTCTTTTACTCTTAGGATGGGGCAAATAAATGACAATTGGTGAAATATTGTAAGTAATATCTGAAAGATGTTTCATATTCCAATGCATTTTAATTTTGTTGTTTCTTTACAGATGATGTTAAAATGGAGAAAATCATCTCGACAACTTATTCTGCAATGTGTTTATTTATATTATTATAAACGTAAATGCAATGTATAATTCTTGTTATATAATAAATTACATGCTATAAAAATATAAATCGAAAATGTATATGTATATTTTTATTTGAATTTTTAATGGGGTATGACTGATGGCAATGGGTATTCAGTCGTCAACGACTGTGTAAACGACATAGTCGATGATAGTCGTCAACGAAAAGTAGGGAGTTTTGTCGCCGTCAACGACAACTTCGCTTACCTTGTCGCCCAAGTTGTCTTGCATGAATACTGCGACACTTGTGTGAAAATTTCGTCAAGGATCTCACATTGTTGTCTGCAAAGTGTCTTCAAGGAATTGCCATTGTCTTGCACGATTCGTTAATGTTGTCTGCAAGACACTTTCTACTGGGTTATTATACCATGGTAGGAAGTTTTGAAAATGTCTACTAATGTGACACTAAATTTGGTACAATTTGGATTTAGAGTGAACCGATAGAGCTGGATTCCTGACATTGGGTAATATTGCATTAGATTCCATGATGTAGGTCGTAATGGAAATTTGTACGTATGTGTACTAAATGGTACTAAATTTTATATAATTTTGATATTGGTGAACCGATGGAGCTGGAATCCTGAGATTTGGAATTGAGATTGTGGTGTTTCGGAAATTCGTACTTGTAAATGTTAAAATAGTTTTGGAAATTTATATTGATGTGTACAAACTGGTACTAAATTTTGATTTGAGTAAACCTACATTTGAAATTTGGATTTTTTTCGAAATAAGTATTACTAGGGTAATACTAAATGATACTAAATTTAGTATAGGGCTATATTTCTGTTGCGGTCAGAATTGGTTTGTAAAGTTGAGATATCAAGATACTTTTGGAAATACATACTGTAAGAGAACATACTAAAATTTTAATTATGGTCGGTATTGGTGTTTAGATAATTCCCACATTCGCTAACGAAGTGACGGGCATATGATAGTATAATTATATGTGTGGGTGGAATGGGTTATTCTATACATAATTGAAATGGAAGCTATTTTTGTTTAACCTTGAGAGTTGAGAGCTCAATTTACAAAAAATATCAAAGCTATATCTAAATCTGAAAATATTTCAACCAAACTTGCTGATTTAAGTGGGCCGGACAGGACTTTGAACATATCATTCATTTTTGGATATAGACCTATAATAAAAATGGCCCCGGAATGTCAAATGAAAATCACTTCGTAATGCTTAAACATTGTCACATTGGTTGGAAAGTGTGTGTAATACCACCAAAATACAATTAAAGGGGGCTGGAAATTTTACATATATTAAAAAAAATTACATATATTTGAAATATTTGTCCGCCCAATGATAACACAAAATATTAACAGTTGAAAACATGGGTCGCAGCATATTTACACATACCTATATGGGCTTGACAAATTATTCTACTACGTCTTCAACGAACTAAATTTGCCGGCCCCATTGACATCCATATAACAGTGTTCGATTGTATTCCATGAAATTTTAATTTTTAAATAAAATAACAACCATAATATACCCTCCATATGATAGGAGAATGAAATGTTGCTGAAACTCATCTAAATTGCTAATATAGTTCAAACAGATATCATTGCTATATCAAATACTTTACAACATTGTATAACGATATACTAAACAACGTTTTTATCCGAATGAACAAAACTACTCTGATTGGATGCTAAAATGAATCATAAATAAAGAATGGCGATACTAAAGTGAACCAAACAATAATTGCATTTTAAAATTAATAGAAAATTGAATTGAATGATTTTTTTATTTCAATTTTCTATTGCATAACACAAAACGTGTAACGTGCTTACCTCCAGTATTTTCGATTCAATGGTATACAAAGAATCGCGATTTTTTGCCGATTCAATAATCAATTGCTCCTTTTTCTCTTGCAAGTCTGGTCGTTCATGAGCGACAACGGTGGCCAATAGTTGTTCACTTAAACCTTGTTCAGTAATCATGAAATTAATTACAGTTACCTGAAAAGGAAATAGAAAAATAAAGGTCAACAATTGATTTAAAAGAGCAGAGCAAGAAGAAAATGGGGAAAAAGTCGAATAGCGCAAAGTATATCATCTTATCTTATTGTAACGCATATTCACTTATATATGATATATTTTGATGATATGTATGATTTATGTTCGTGCTTTAAATGGAATGACAAATTTAAAATACACTCTACCTCTAGAGAGTTAAATTTATAGCGACTTTTATGTGGGAGCTATGCCATGAAAAACGTTAGATATAACAAACTTCAGACTATACGATTGAACAATTTTGTTAGGATGTTAACATAATGACATCTTCAAAATATTATACATTGTTGGGGTAACGTTACATGAGTTCTATATCCAAACAGGGACATATAAGTTTTAGTAAGACAATTCGACATCCAAAGGAAACCTAAAAACGTATAAAACCCGGTATTGAAAGTTCAAAAGTCGGACGGGGCAGACTATATGATACCCTTCACCACTTTGGGTACATACAAGAGATGCTCATATGTACAATATACTTTAGATAGAATAAGAATGTAAGTTACATAATTACATCTGAACTAAATTAAAACTGTCCATATACATATCAATCTGAAATTTATGAAAAATTTAATGTTAATGTCCAACGAAAATTCGCATAAATGAATCCTGACCTATTTCAGTACTCTGTGCAAAATTCCGTCTCAATTGGACATATATTGGGAGTTTGGTGCTCCATTTACATAAAATCGGACGAAACTATATATGGGAGGTATATCTTAAACTAAACCGATTTTCTGCAATTTCAGTAAGGTTCGTCCTTGGGTCAAATTAGTGACATGTGTCAAATTTCATTCGAAACGGTTCATAAATGCGACCTGTACTTTGTTGACAAAAAATACATGGTCGGACGGAAAGACGGACATGCATAAATCGACTCAGAAAGTCATTCTATGCATATTCTCAAAAGGAACCATGTGTCTATCTCGTACCGCAGTGTGGTGAATGGTATACAAAACACGAATAAGGTAGGATTAATTACAGATGATGGACAGATTTTCTTGGGTGACGTAGGGGATGATAGATATAAAGCAACGTCTTGGATTGGCTTTAACATGTCAAAGCCCAGGCTTATCTTGGTCCCTCTTTAATCTCAATTGTGGACATCCGTTGAAATAGTGAGCTGATTTTTGCCGCGAGTTCCACCATAAGAACTATAAACAAGTGAAAAGGAGTTAAGTTCGGTCGGGTCGAACTTTGGATATCCTCCATCATAGATATTGTAAGCCATAATACACATTTCGGAAATTTTTAATGGATAATTACACCCTCAGCCTATAACACTTTGACTAGGTGAAAATGTGCCTCATCGAAATATTGGTTTTATACCCCATGTTTCATTGGAACAAATCCGTTTCATAAAATTTTGATTTTATCCAAACTTTGCCCATCTTACTATTTCTTCCAAACATAGTTCAACTTCGAAGATGGGGAATATCGGTCTACTCCTTCTGGAGCATCCCAAACAAGGGCTAGGCCTAAATGCGGGCTAAATTTCATATATAGTTCATTATTGTAACTTACGTTCTAGTTATTTATCTCGATATCCCTCGCAGTTGAAGTGATTACAACATAGTCTTAGATCCAAACCAAAAACGCGGTATAAATCAGATAACTATTTTAATATAAACAACTGAAAAAGCGTTAAGTTCGGCCGGGCCGAACTTTGGATACCCTCCACCATAGATATACTGACAGGTACTAGAAATGTAAATATAGGGATCATACCAATTGGGGGTACACTTTTATGGGGGCTATGCTTAAACGTGGGCCGATAAAGCCCATCTTCGAACTTGACCTGCCTGTAGACAAAAGACGACTCAATGCAAAATTTTGGCGATCTATTTCAGTTTGTTTAGACGCTAGAGTGATTACAACAGACAGACGGACAGACAGACGAACATGGCTAAATCGTAATAGAATTTTACGCTGATCATGAATATAAATACTTTATAGGGTCGGAAATGATTATTTCGGTGAGGGACTACCCAAAAAAAAGGTTGAATAATAAGTTTTGGTAGGGAAATTTGTTATTATATACGACTACCAAATACCAAATTTCATCGAATTCGGTTGAAAACGCGCTCAAATATTTAAAGATTATATTTTTACTAAACTTACCATAACCATAATTTCGGGTGGATAGTGCGGATTCCGAAGGCACGTTGTTATATATAATCGAAAATTGCTGTTATATTCAATCATTTGATCGCCACTCTTTATGAAATAACCGCCTTTGTGTTTAATAATATTTTTTTCCAAAATGGGTGTTAAATTTGAATCCAATTTTTCACCTTTATTAAGAAAAAAAAGAAAAAAAAAATAAATTAAAAAATATATTTCAGGTTTTATTTAAGAAATATTAAGAAACAGTGCAACAAGTTTTTGTGGAGGTGGAATGAAAAGGAAATTTCACCATAGGTCTGTCATACTTGATGAAATAGCTTCAAATATTCAATTTGTAGGTATTGTATGCATTTTTTGAGATTACATGAGTAAAATCGAATGCGGATTTTTTTGTGGAATTCGATTATTTAACGTTCATAAATTTAATAATAAGCAGATTAAATTGAATGAAATGTATGTATATAACCTTAGGGGGAAATAATTACTATATCAATAAATAAAATATGAAAAATCAAATGTTTTTTAAGGAACGCATATACCTTTTGATAAACAACGCGCATTATAATCCGTGCAAATGTACGTTTATTATATAAATTCCATCCCAATCTCATAATGCTCTTTATATGTGGCGAATTTTCTACCTTGCAAACAAAATATTTCAATTACATCCATTGAAAATTGCATTAATCGAATAATGAAAATGAATTATGGAAGTCGGCTGGATATGAATGGAATGTTAATCTCAAAATATAATCAACGTTAATTGTATTCATCTCAAGTGTAAAACAATTTATCACTTCAAATATTTCCAGCACATTTAATTTCTTGGAATGGGCAATAATTAAATTCAAATGACCAGAAACGGAGTGCAAATAAATTTGTGTATTTGGTTTTGTCACCTTGTGCTCACCCCAATAGTCATTGTCAATCTTAGCATTCAATTTGAAATCATTTGTGCCGTTTATTTTGAAAATGGTTTAAGTACTTTTTGGTGTTCTGATGCAAATCTCGGTTTTCCAGAATGTTCATGTTTAAGGGCACAAAGCCACAAACAAAATGAAACCCAAACATTTAAATATCTCAATAAAGTAAAAAAACGGACTTAGATCCCTTTCAAAATAAACGACTAATTTATATTTCATTTCATGGCATCATTAATCTTTGCAATGGGCAAGGCTTATTTATTAAACCATAAATTTTCAAAATAACAATAGAAGCAACACTAATGACTTGGAAGGAAGCATTATTATGAAGAATAATAAGATGGCTTTACCGTTTGTAAGTCATTGAAGTAATCGTTTCAGACTTCAAGAGGTTTACATATCAGTGTGACAATCAAAGACGACATTGGCATATACTATTTTATGTTTTGCGGTAAAAATACATGAGATTGTTTTAGGATTTTAAACTCATACTCCAATATAATTACGAAGGCAGTTCGGAAAATTCGTAGCCTAGCATAAATAACGCGGTATGAGCAGAAAAAGTTAAGTATTTTGGAATGTTCCATCTTTGTTAAGAACACATTTTAAATTTTGTTTCGATCCGCGTAGTTATCATTAAAAATTTTTGGTTCGGATTCGGTAGAAAAGCTAATATTTTCATTATATACGCACGCTTTTGTCCATTCTCATATTACCCATCAACGGTTTTTATTTTAGAATTTAAAATGCATTGATATTTTTATTCACTTTAGATTGAGGTAAATGTACATTAAATTTGTTTCGATCGAACTTATAGTCTTGTACTGTTGATTGTGAGTGTTACACAAAACAACATGTTACACTGCAACATAGTGGGGTGTAGGGTATAACAATATTGTATGGAAACACTTGAATTCACGACTATTAAAATTAAAATAATCGAAAAAAATAATGATACCAAATGACACTCCACAAAACAATAAAAGAAAAGTAATAGGAGCAACAAAAATAAATAAACGAAGGAGAAAATACAAAGGGGCGTAATCACGCTTATAATCTTAGAGATAGCCATAGCCATCGCATCCATCGTAATCGACATCATCATCACAACTACTCTTATCGGCGACGAAAACATTCAAGTATATTAAAAGAGCTTTCCATCAAAAAGCAATAAAATTCATCTGGAAAGGAATGAAGGGCGGTCGAGGGCATATAACATTAGGGATGTCAATATATAGATATTCATTTGTGAGCGTAAGTAAGGAAAGGTCATAAGACGGACGGAGCCGACTATATGAAACAAGAGATGCGCCTAAGATTCTTATTGTAAGAAACATTACGATATAAAAACCAATATGAACCAAATAAAACATGCGCCCTTCTCTTTTGGTCGTGTAATCTGTCCATAGAACGTAGCATCTTTGGGGATCCATTGTGGTGAAATCGTACAAAATTAACAATGTGATCGATATAGATATACGAAATTATTTTAATCAACCCATACACGTGTCATTCTGAAATCTATGCAAATTTCATTGCGCTGATTTACTATTACGAAAAACTATATGGGAGCTATATCTAAATCTTGCTCGATTTTCTCGAAACGTGACATACGTGATTCTAGACTCAATTCAGTATCCTATGTCAAATATCGAGCAAATCCAAGGATATATAGGGACCTTGTAGACCAATTTACCTTAAATCGAACGAAAATATATATGGGGCTATATCTAAATCTAGATCGATTTCCTCGAAACTTAGCACACATCATTCTGGAAATAATTCAGTACTCTATGCCAAATTTCGTGGAAATCGAATTATATATAGGGACTTTGGTGCGCCATTTACCTTAAATCGGACGAAACAATATATGAGAGCTATATCTAAATCTGAACCGATTTTTCCCAATTTCAATAGGGTTCGTCCTTGGGCCAAATAAGTGACTTGTGCCAAATTTCTTCCAAATCGGACCCTAAATACGACCTGTACTTTGTTTACAATTTAACATCTACAGACGGACATGCATAAATCGACTCAGAAAGTGATTCTATGCATATTCTCAGAAAGAACCATGTGTCTATATCGTTTCCTTTTGTCTGTTACAAACAGATATAAAGTCGTCGTGACTCAGTAGGCTGTGCAAAATTTTGTCTCAATCGGACAAATATAGGGAGTTTGGTGCACCATTTAGACAATAGGGTTTGTCAATAAGCGACCAAATTTCACAAGAAGACATACATGCAGACGGACGGATGTGTGTGCGTAAATCAACTCAGAAAGTGATTCTTTGCACATACTCAATATGAACGATGTGTCGTCCATCTCGGTTCCTTTTGCCTGTTACAAACACATATGCACAAATATGTAATACCCTGCACCACAGTGTGGTGAAGGGTATAAAAACAATAAACCAAAATAAAATCATACCAAAAAAAAAAAAACCAAAATAAAATCATACAAAAAAACTCCCATTTTCTCGTTGAAATAAAAATATCTCTTTCGACAACTCTAACTTCGATTCAAAGTTGTATTGGTAATAATTCAGATATAAAAAGTTTTCTTTATTATTATGGTTGGACGAAATGATACATTAGCTCCATTTGTAATTGAATGTCTGCCCTTGGGCGAAACTCGAAAACGCATTTCCTTGCCATCAAAGAACCATAACGATTTTCGAAATATATATTTATAAGGATAAAATAAACAAAAAATGATTCTGTGGTTATAAAATATACCCTTTGGCAGTTATCTATTCATCCTCGATTTCTTTAATGCCGTAAAATTGTCTGCAAAACGCTTCGGTGCCATAATATCCTTTAAGATTAACAAATAAAACTTACCAACATTTTCAATCAATACAGGATTGCCATAAGTGATAGCCAGTTCAAGCACCTGCATATAATTGCTATCGCTTTGCTTAATGACTTTCAAATCGTTCTTCTTTTCCATATTTTTAATCCACTTATTGGCTTGCACTATGAGTAGGGTAAAGTTAGAAGGTACAGTATTTGTTTGTAATATTCGAAACTTTAATTAGGTGTGTATTAGTGTGGATGATACCACTGCCGCTGAGTATTAGCTTACCTTGTGGATCAATTAGCAAGGAATAACGACTGGAGTTAGCTACAATGATGGCATTTTCTATTGAAAAATTATCAGCAGGTAAGCCGCCTAATGACCAGGCTCTTATTTGCATCGGATTACCCAGAGTATTTGCAAGCGAAAACTTTTCCGAACAAGGAATTTTACGTTGTCGGCAGAAATCATTCCATTCTTGAAGTATTCGAACTCTATACTGTTGTTATGGGAATAAGAAGAGTGAATCATTGATGGTCATTAAATTAGTACTAATTGAAAATTATACGCTAAAAGTTTTTAATAGTAAGTTCATGTTGTAAATATATGAGTGTTAATTTCTAAATATCTATAAACAAATAGCTTCGTAAATACATAATTGATGATTTAAAACTAGTGGAAATGGAATAAGGTAATACAGTATTCCCCGCATAATTACCTCCACGGTTAATTAATCCGATTTCAGAATACCCAGTTATTTTCAGTACAATCACTTACAAAACCCTACGTTTAATTACCCATTTCATTTATTTACCCCTAAATAACCTACCCCAAAGTAACCGTACCTTTAAATCTGTCCCATGTAATTACCCAATGTATTTTTTTTAAATCTGGCAACTTCACATAAAATGGCTTACACTTGCTAGTGCAATTGCCACACATGTACACATAAAATTTATTGTTTTGAAAGTTTTCGTGAAATGTTTCCCAGAAGTACATATTTGTGTATCAAACTAAAGCTCCAGTTAATATCTCAAGCAAAAAGGAAGAAAAAACAAAACACCAATGTCCACGGAGTTTTACCCTTGCTGGGTAATTAACCGGGGTCCACGGATTATTACCCTAGCGAGGTAATCAACCGTGCACGCTTAATTACCTTCCACGGATAATTACTCAAAAATCTTGAAATTGTCACTGAGGTAATTAAACGGGGTTTACTGTATATGTATACAATGTTGAAACCCCTGGCCAACACTATAAGATATTACCCCGATGAAAACATAATACACCGGCAATGTAGTGCTCAGCCCGCCATCAACAGTTATACACGGAGATGCTTTGGTGATAATCGGTGTTTGCCCATTTTTATACCCTTCACCACACTGTGGCACAAGGTATTATGTCTTTGTGCATATGTTTGCAACAGGCAAACGAAATCGAGATAGACCCATGGTTCATTTTGAGAATATGCATAGAATCACTTTCTGAATCGATTTATGCATTTCCGTCTGTCCATGTATTTTTGTGAACAAAGCGCAGATCGCATTTATGATTCGATTAGTATGAAATTTGTCACAGTTCACTTATTCGGTACAAGGACGAACTCTATAGAAAATCGGTTAAGATTTAGATATAGCTCCCATATATATTTTTTGTTCGATTTTATGGGGATAATGCACCAAACTCCAAATATTTGTCCGGTTGAGACAAACTTTTGCACAGCGCACTGAATTCAGTCCAGTTTGACGTCTGTGAAGTTTTCTTGAAATCGGTCCAGATTTAGACGATTTTAGGTAAATGGTGCACCATACTCAAAATATTAGACCGATTGAAACAGAATTTTGCACAGCTTACTAAATTCAGTCCAGTTTTACGCCTGTCAAGTTTTGTTGAAATCGGTCCAGATTTAGATATAGCTTACATATATAGATTCGTCCGATTTTATGTAATTGGTGCACCAAACTCCCAATATTTGTCCGATTTAAAAAAACATTTTACACAGCATTCTGAATTTAGTCCAGTTTGATGTCGGTGAAGTTTTGTTGAAATCGTTTCAAATATATAGCTATATGTAGCTCCCACACATAATTTTGCTGGATTTCATACAAAAGTTACAATAAAAAATCCAAGTCTGCCCAATTGATGAATTTTTCATAGATTTCAGAATGGTATGTGTATGATTTTTTTATTGATTCAAATATCTTTGTAGATAACACTTTTTTTCGCCCGATTCCATTTCAATGGTCTTCCAAAGATACTCTTCTACTTACAGGATATTGTACAAATTATGATCTCTTGTATGTACCCAAAGTGGTGAAAGGGTCATGTAGTCGGCTCCGTCCGACTTCAAATCCCGACGTGTGATTTCAAAATGCTAAAAACCCGAATTCTTAGTTGAACTTCACACGCTGATCATATTCATTGCATTCTCTCATGCCAAAAAAAAAAAAAAAAAGAAAAAAAGAACTACTATTACACATATCAAAACTTCGTCCCATGGACTACTCTCCTCAGAGCAATATCGTGTGGTTAAGAATAATAAGTGTTAAGTATAGTGTTTTTATGGTTTTACTCATAGGAAATAAAATATTTTTGAAATGACTTAAGTTTTTCTCTCTCTCTCTTAAAAATCCCACTACGAAAATAAATTATTGTGGCAAAACTGACAAACGCGTCGTAACAAGACTCAATTCAATATGTTATCACCCTTAAAATGGTCAAGAGTCTAGCTCCATTCGAATATTTATTATATAATTACAACACTATCCAAAGTGGTATATGATGTCATCCCGCCCGATTTTTTCTCTTTCCTTATGTTCTATTTACTTTGTTTTTGTTTTAATAATACCGAAGGCATATGCATAGAAGCAAAACTGTATTGAGTGTGGGAGTATATGAAATAAAATGCTGTTATGAATGTGAAGCCATGGTTAAAAATTCGCTTTTTATAGTTGTACAGTGGACCATATGGTCAACATATTTTTTATATACCATAAAGTAGAGTGTATATTAATTATTAATTTATTATTCCGTATGCCACTCCGTGAAATATTCTAAGTCGTTCTAACTATGTATGTATGTCTTTGGAAATCACGATAGATCTCACAATAATAAAGGTAGATCATTTTAGTTTTGAGCATACATTGCAACTACTTATACGACGTTTGGTATTAAAAATAAAATATACTGGTCCACGTTTTGATATAGATTTCTGATAACGTACCACCCCAGTTCGGGCATTTGCTGGTATTTTGCAATTTCCAATTGAAGAGCTGTACTTTGACAATCCGCACAGTTTGTTGCCTCGCTTTGACATAGCCTCCGTCTAATGTCGCGTCATATTTAAGGTATGTTAATGGTCCGAAGGTAAATTCTCATTCTTTAATTTCTCTCATTCTTTAATTTGAAATGAGCCCTCGGAAAAAAATTTAAAATATGTGTCCATGTTTTGAAATTGATTTTCTTTATCTTTAACGTTCAAACCTAATTTCTTAAAGTATGTGACTGAATTTGGGTACATCGTTTCCTCAGTTTTAGATAATTTTTTTACATGCACATGGGTTCCGATCGATTTCAGTTGTTTCGAATGCCCACAATTACGTACGACTGAACTTATGAATTTTTCATACCATGTTGTATACAAAAACCAGTACCCTTCACCACTTTGAGTATATTCAACAGATGCATCCTTCGTAATTTTTGAAGGACCATTAACATGAAATTGGATAAACTAAAATATGTGATTTTTATCTGACTGTGAACCGACTTAAATCAATCATAGATCTGTCATTCTGCATCCTATGCTAAATTTTTCATTTTTCATAACATCAGTACGTTGTGCAAAATCCTGTGTTAATCGGTTTGATTTTTGGGGTCTTTGGTACACCATTAACTTTAAATCGCATGAAACTATATATGGGAGCTTTATCTAAATCTGAAGCGATTTAATCAAAACTTGACGCATTTGTTATAACAACTTCAGTACGTTGTGTGTCAATCGGGCATAGTTTGGGACTTTGGTGCACCATTTACTGCACATTGGACGAAAGTATACAGGAGAGCTATATCTAAATCTGAACCAATTTCAGCAAAACTTTCCACACAGTAGGTTATACCTACTTCAGTACTTTGTGCAAAATTTTGTTTCAATCGGCCATATTTTGGAGCTTTGGTGCACCATTTACTGAATATCGGACGAAACTATAAATGGGAGCTATATCTAAACCTGAACCGATTTCAGTGAAACTTTCCACACAGTAGGTTATAGTAAGTTCAGTACGTTGTTCAAAATGTTGTATCAATCGGCCATATTTTGTGTCGTTGGTGCACATTTTACTAAAAATTGAACGAAACTATATATGGGAGCTATATCTAAATCTGAACCGATTTTTCCCAATTTCAATAGGGTTCGTCCTTGGGTCAAACAAATGAGCTGGGCCAAATTTCATCCAATGCATGCGACCTGTACTTTGTTTACAATTTAACATGGACAGGCGGATGGACGGACGGACGGACATGCATAAATCGTCTCAGAAAATGGTTTTAATGCATATTCTCAAATGGAACCATGGGTCTATCTCAAACATATGCACAATCACATAATACCCTGTACGACAGTGTGGTGAAGGGTATAAATATATATTTCAGTGGCTACACTATAATCACATTGAATCACTGTTGCAACGGCACATCACTTAATCTAGATCCAGTATCCTTTTATTGCGGCAGATCCGGTGCGTTCGTTAGTCATGCACATGCATATTCATGTTCAGTTAAGGTTACCATGATGGGGCAGGATGTGAATGTGGCTTGAGAGAGAGTATGGCGACCGGCAATAACGTTGGTTTTTGTATCTTTTATTTACAATATAAATTTCAGCAACTGGTACCAACGGCCCCATCAACATTATCGTTACCAGCAGTATTGCTCTGTTCGAATAACATACTGTCGTCATTGATACCCTGGTAACGATGCCTGCAACTACCCGCAGGCAACTGGTGTGACCAAAGACTAACGAATCGAATATACCATGGGTGTGTGTGTTTTCCTACACCAACAATATCAACAGTTGGTATAGTTTGGGTCCGGTATCGAAGTATATGTCACTCGTAGATTGGCACCAACATAAAACACAAACAAGAATTTAACATGACTGTGCATATATTGTGAAAACAAATCCAATTGCCCTCGTGGTGATGCGTACACTAGAGCCAATTAATAACAAATCTAAGTCTCGTAAAAAAACTGAGTGTACACAAATGTATTAGAACTCGAAGAAAACTAAAAAAGAAATGTTGTGCAATGCGTAGAAATTTAAGGATTTCCCGAAAATAAATGTTAGATTCGTGATTCCTAATACTAATAATAAATTGGAGTATAACATTTCTCAGGACCGGTCGATAAATAAAAATATATAAAAACATGCAATATTTTGAAATATGTCAACTCGAGAGCTGCGATGTGTATTAGAATTAAATAAACAAAATACTCTCAGGTGAAATTGCAGTATTTCGTATTATGACAAAGACTTGCAAGGCAGCCAAAGTGGGGAGAAACCATTTTACAGAGACTATGGAATTTGTGAAAATCTGTTCAAAGTTTTTTATACCCTTCACCACACTGTGGTACAGGGTATTATGTCTTTGTGCATATGTTTGTAACAGGCAAAAGGAAACCAGATAGACACATGGTTCCTTCTGAGAATATGCATAGAATCACTTTCTGAGTCGATTTATGCATGTCCGTCCGCCCGTCTGTCTGTCTGTCTGTGCATGTTAAATTGTAAACAAAGTACAGGTCGCATTTATGATCCGAATTGGATGAAATTTGGCATAGGTCACTTATTCGGCCCAAGGACGAACCCTATTGAAATTGGGAAAATCGGTTCAGATTTAGATATAGCTCCCATATATATATTTAACCGATTTAATGTAAACGGTCCCTATATATCTTTCGATTTGCACGAAATTTGGTACAGCCTAATCATTTAGGTCTAGAATTATGTCTGCCAAGTTTCGTGAAAATCGGTCCAGATTTTGATATATCTCCCATATATAGTTTCGTCCGATTTCATGTAAATGGTGCACCAAAGTCCCTATATATCCTTCGATTTGCACGAAATTTGGCATAACGTACTGAATTAAGCCTAGAGTGATGTCTGCCAAGTTTCGAGAAAATCGGTCCAGATTTAGATATAGCTCCCATATATAGTTTCGTCCGATTTCATGTAAATTGTGCACCAAAGTCCCTATATATCTTTCGATTTGCACGAAATTTTGCATAACGTACTGAATTGAGCCTAGAATGATGTGTGCCAAGTTTCGAGAAAATCGGTCCAGATTTAGATATAGCTCCCATATATAGTTTCGTCAGATTTCATGTAAATTGTGCACCAAAGTCCCTATATATCTTTCGATTTGCACGAAATTTTGCATAACGTACTGAATTGAGCCTAGAATGATGTGTGCCAAGTTTCGTGAAAATCGGTTCAGATTTAGATATAGCTCCCATATATATTTTCGTCCGATTTAATGCAAATGGTGCACCAAAGTCCCTATACATCTTTCGATTTGCACGAAATTTGGCATTAGGTACTGAATTGAGCCTAGAGTGATGTCTGTTAAGTTTAGTGAAAATCGGTCAAGATTTAGATATAGCTCCCATATATATTTTCGTCCGATTTAATGTAAACGGTGCACCAAAGTCCAGATATATCTTTCGATTTTCCCGAAATTTGGCATAGCGTACTGAATTTAGTCCAGAATGTGTGTGTATAGTTTCGTTAAAATCGGTTGAGATTTAGATATAGCTCCCTTATATTATTATAGGAACAAAACGTACTGAAATTAGTAACAACTTTCGTTGGAATCGGTTCATATTTGGATATATTTTCGCCCGATTTTAAGTAAATGGTGCATCAAACTCCTCATGTTATTCTGATTGACATCAAATTTTGCACAACGTACAAAATTGAGCATAGAATTACGTAGTTGCGTTTTCTAGAAATACAGACATAGCTGTTTGAAGTCGATTTACATACTTTTGTCCCATTGTAACAAACGAATGACATGTTTATGGATAGATCTAGGTAGATTCACATATATATAAGTATCACATATTTTATTTCATCCAATTTCATGTTAATAGTACTGTTTAATATATCCATAGTGGTGAAGGGTATCATATAGTCGGCCCGTCCGACTTTACTACTTTCCTTACTGGTATATATCCCCATTGTCTCCGATTTTATGTTGCATAAAACAGGCCCCATGGTTTCTACTGGAGTTTACTAGGTAAGTTCAAAGGTGGATAGGTATAGTCAAAGTTATTCATTCTGGTAGAAAACAAGATCCCCTATGTATGAATGTATGCATTAGGGTTATGACTTTTTTTTGTATATTTTGCCTATTAATAAGGTTTCACTCAAACAGCCACTTAGGGTGGCTCTAAGGGTTGTGGATAATTATATATCTGCTTACAATGACTCAAAAACTTTTCCAATATTCTTATAAATAAACAATTTCAATGTAAATTTCACCAGACTTAATTAGATATTTACCTCAGTAGGAAAAAATCCCAAATATGCTGTACAACCACCTGCTAGAAGAACATCGCCAACGATATTGCTTATGGATTGATGTAAATTATGGGCAGTTTCGGACCAACGTATCTTTTCACCACCCAAGCCACCAAGTAATTTTTCAGCTCTATAGTAATAAATTGATAAAACAAACGTGTAAATATATATAAAAATACGCACATATATTCCTTACCTATTTAATTTCTTTTCACAATTATCGATTTCATCTTCTAGGCCCTTCTTTTGTCTTGACTTTTCGGCAAAATAATCGTTTAACTTTTGCAATTTATCCAATATGACTTGTAATTCGGCACGTTTTGCATTTAATTTTTCCATTTGAGATGCTAATTCATTTTCGGCTTCGGCTAAGGCAGCTTTTTTGGGCATAACAATTCGGGCCACTTTGTCATATACATCCATAGCGCGTACCCAATGACAAATACCTTCACATGCCGTCGACGCTGATTTAATCTTTTCCGGTACGAAATCGCGATCAGCTACATATCTGCAAGGAAATTAAATGTATTTTGTCAATAGTATTCTACTGATTTGACTTTTGTTAATCTCTATCAGAGGAGCTACAATAAATTGTGTAGCTATATATTGATCTATCAGTCAGTCATTATATATATCAGTGTATATATAAATCGAAATCATTTAAAACGACACCGATTATAATGACATATTGCTTATCGTTTCTAATACAAAGGGTTCTACGATCCGAAACGGCACGAGTCTTTATCGGCCAACGTCTGTCATCTCAGTACATAGTGTAAAAGCAATAGCGCTGCCACAACAACAGCGAGAAACAATTTCTGCCCTTTTATTTTATATCATTTATAACGAAATATCGCTACAGCCGAAACCTTGGCTATCGTATAAACAATTTCTACTGTATCTACATTGACTTTAAAAATATTGTTAATGTTTGGTAGAAAAAAATTCTACCCAATTACATCCGACAATACAAAATTACTGCTAATTCGGTTGAATAACCTGTCCAAAGTCCTTAAAATGATGTAAATTTTAGTAGAAAGCTTTGCAACCCAATTAGATCCGAAAATACGAGTACAACATTACAGCTAATTCCATTGTATAATACAATACTTACAAACAATTCGGAATACTCACTTCTCGCGTATCTTTTTTATAATTGCCGGCGGTATATTATCTTTATCGAAAGTCTTTAGAGATTCCAAAAATTTCATATCGCTAACCATGCGCAATGATGCAGCCCAATAATCTTCAACCATTCGACCCGAAGCATCAGGTTTACGATCCGGCTTCAATCCCTTCAGAACGCATACAGCCTCCAGCACCAATTTAACGCCGTACGGGGGATTCTTCATAGACTTAACTACAAAAATATCGGCAGGTTTCAAAGTGTTGAGAGCATCCAATGCTGCCTCTAGGGCTGGTATTGCCTCAGCCAAATCACTTTCACAGTCATCTTTAATGGCCTGGGCTGCTGCGGCAGCCTCATTGGCCGCTGCCTCGTCGGCACCCACTACCTCTTTTTTCTTTTCCGCTTCCGCTGTTTCACGTTCAATATTTACCATAATTTTTTCCGTTTCCTCTGACAACACTTTTAGCTTCGGTTGCAATTCATACAAATTGGCCTGCATTTCACCCACTTGACCGGCAGCAAACTCCAACTTCTCCAAACCCGTTGTATACCTAAGGACATGAATGAGGGTGTGAAGGGGCATAACACGTAAGTTTACATTGCAATCTGCTCGTACCTGTCCCTTAATTTCGTTATCTCGTCGAGTTTCCTTATGTAGAACGCTTTAAATGCCTTCAGCATTTCCAAGTAGGATGAGGGTGTGACATAATTGCGTCTACCCAATTCCGTGTAGCATCTGTAAAATAGTTTTCAATGTTTTTAACAGCTCAGCGTTATTTGTGACTGTGTCGAGTGGTGTCCATGACCAGCGCCGAATGCAACACAAACGATTTACCTTTCGCTCGCCTCTAGAACAGATTGATTGAAATGCATTACACATTTTACCAATTCCTTTTCCAAATCACTCAGCACAATCTCGTGGACATCCTCTAAACTCTTTTTGCTCTCCTTGGAATCGATTGATTCAACTGACTTATTGGCTTCCGCTTCATCTGTATCGTGCGACTGACCCAATTCCATGGAACTAATAAAATATTCCGCAACACGTTCCAAAGCGTCTACCGGCCAAGGCATGTACCTAGTTTTTCGATTTCCATTTAGTTTAGTTGATGGTGGATTGCGGCACAATATGGGTGGTAAAAAAACAAAGTTGATTTAAAGGGGAAATTCGAGAGTGGCAACGAAAAAATATGTTAACAAATTGATAAAATATAAACTGATGTAGGTATGACATCCTTATTTCTTTCAAATTGATTTATTTCAACTCAGGTTGCATACAATTGAACAGTGAAGTGAATTGGAATACACAGAATGGACTACTGCGCGACTTTGTATACATCCAGGCGTATACATGACGACCAGTTGATCCCCTAAACATGAACCGATTATTACAAAAACAAACAAGTAAAAAAAGCGATAAGTTCGGCCGGGTCGATTTTAGATACCATCCACCATTGGTATACTGGCAGTTACTTGAACTGAAAATATAGGGAACATACCAAAAAGTGGACCTTTACCGACAACTGCACCAAGAGCTTCTTGCAAACCGTAATATACACCAAATACGAATTACAGCAATTTTTAATGGAGATTTTTTTAAAAAATCCCAAAAATGAGGGCCGATATTGGCGACGTATGGTAGGATGAAACATGTGTATAAAATCCACAAAATGCTACAACTTAGAGGGTGCAACGTACACAGGTTTTATTTCGGGGGGTTTGGTGGAAGCTGCAGAAGAAAAATTGTTATATGAAATGCTACGCCTAATTGAGAAAGCATCACAAAACGCTAAAGGTTAAAAGTACCGAAAATCGTTAGATATGGGGCTAGGCATAAATGCGGGCCGATAGAATATCGAATCCAAAACGGAATAAATCAGATAACTATTTTAATACCACAAAAGGGGTCGAATATTAAACATGTTTGGGATGGAGATTTGTTTCTATATACGACTACCCAAAAACCCAAATTACCCTTATATGGAGGCTACGCGAAAAAATTTACCTATATTTATAAGTTTTAGTGGAGAGATTTACTATCCAATAAGATCTCAATGTACTAAATTTCGATTGAAAACGCGATCAAGAACCCTAAAATACCTAAAAGGGGGGGGGGGGGGGAGGTTGTTTTACCCTCATATGGTAGCTACCGAACGTGGACCGAAATTGCCCATCTTCGAACTTGACCTGCCTGCCAGACAAATTTTGGATCTTTCTCAATTCGTGTAGATGATAGAATAATTACAACACACAAACGGAGATGGGCCATGCTTCCGGGCCATCTCCGTTTGTATAATTTACACCGGTATTTTGGGGTGTGGGCATATTTTTTCAAACAAATTTGCCGGGGAAGTGCGGCAATGTGTTACAAAGACTATGAATATAAGACCATGAGTTGACAGAACCCTTCTTATTCAGTATTTTGAAGGTGTTTTTATACCCTTCACCACACTGTGTTACAGGGTATTATGTCTTTGTAATAGGCAAAAGGAAACGAGATAGACACATGGTTCCCTTTGAGAATATGCATAGAATCACTTTCTGAGTCGATTTATGCATGTCCGTCCGTCTGTCTATCCATGTTTAATTGAAAACAAAGTACAGGTCGCATTTATGATCCGAATTGGCTGAAATTTGGCACAGGTCACTTATTTGTCCCACGGACGAACTCTAATGAAATTGGAAAAATCGATTCAGATTTAGATATAGCTCCCATATATATTTTCATCCGATTTAATGTAAATGGTGCACCAAAGTCCTTATATATCTTTCGATTTGCACGAAATTTGGCACAGCATAATACATTAGGTCTAGAATAATGTGTGTTAAGTTTCCTGAAAATCGGTTCAGATTTAGATATAGCTCCCATATATATTTTTGTCCGATTTAAGGTAAATGGTGTACCAAAGTCCCTATATATCCTTCGATTTGCACGAAATTTGGCACAGCATAATGAATTAGATCTAGAATAATGTGTGTTAAGTGTCCTGTAAATCGGTTCAGATTTTATGATAAATGGTGCATCAAAGTCCCTATATATCCTTCGATTTTCACGAAATTTGGCATGGTGTACTGGATTGGGTCTAGAATGATGTGTGCTTAGTTTCGAAAAAATCGGTTCAGATTTAGATATAGCTTCCATATATATTTTTTGTCCCAACCTGCATCGATTTTATGGTAAATGGTGCACAAAAGTCCCTATATATCTTTCGATTTGCACAAAAGTTGGCACAGCGTTATGAATTAGGTCTAGAATGGTGTATTTTATGTTTCGGGAAAATCAGTTCAGATTCAGAAATAGCTTCCATATTTATTATCGTCCGATTTAAGGTAAATGGTGCACCAAGGCCCCTATATATCTTTCGATTTGCACAAAATTTGGCACAGCGTAATGAATTGAGTATAGAATTGTGTGTGTTAAGTTTCCTGAAAATTGGTTCAGATTTAGATATAGCTCCCATATATATTTTCGTCCGATTTTATGATAAATGGTACACCAAAGTCCCTATATATCTTTCGATTTTCACGAAATTTGGCATGGTGTACTGGATTGGGTCTAGAATGATGTGTGCTTAGTTTCGAAAAAAATCGGTTCAGATTTAGATATAGCTTCCATATATATTTTTTGTCCCAACCTGCATCGATTTTATGATAAATGGTGCACTAATGGCATGTCGTGCTGAATTACGTCTAGAATGAAGTTTTCTAAGTTGGAAATCGGTTCAGATTTTGATATAGCTCCTATATATTCTTTCTTCCGATTTTATGTAAATTGTGCACTAAAGACCCAAGGTTTGTCCGATTGCCACACAATTATGTACAATAAACTGTAGTTAATATAAATTAATCTCTGGCAAGTCTCGTTTAAATCGGTTCAGTTTCAGATATAGTTGCACCAAACTCCTCATTTTTATCGGATATTTGTCCATATAATCAACGGGTGTCCGATTGCTATAAATTAATTTACATAATTTTGTAAGGAGCAACTCTATATCTGACCAAATGAAAAATTTTGTGTACGTTGCAGAATGACATGTTTATGGATCCAACTTCATTTTACTGGTCCTTCAATAATGCGACGTCCGTTAGGATTCATCTGTTGAATATACACAAAGTGGTGAAGGGTATCATATAGTCGGCCCCGTCCGACTTTACTACTTTCCTTACTGGTTTTTTATTTCCCCGTTGGAGGGTGAAACAAATTTTGTGCGGAAAGTGTATACGTAGGACCAAGTTTTGATGTAATGCCCAGATAAAAGATCCGGTATTCGGCACAACTACATAACGCAATAACATAGTCCTAATGTAAATGTCCCTATCGACTTTGAATGCACATCACATGGTGGAGGGTATAAAAAGTTGGGAAAAATCGAACATAACGGCTTTTTTACTTCTTTTAAATTTCAAAATGTTTGCCCTGCAAATCAACCCTCAAGTGCAAGGAAAGATATTCTTGTACGTTTTGTGCATTATCAGCGGTAAGTCTCAGAAAATTATAGTTTTAAATTTCAAAAATGTTAGTCACGTCTTCTTCTCAGTCGATGAACGTAACAGTATTGCCATTAATCTCTGTAAGAATAAAGTTACCTCTCCCACCATATTTACTGATTATAATAAGAAGAAGGTTTGTAAAATATGATCGTATTGGCAGCCATAAAATAACCTAGTTATAAAATTGTGATGATGTCCTTGTTATAATCATAGTCCAGACGAAACGATTAAAGTTTGTGTTTTGAAATTTTACCCAATGTGGGTGTGTGTGTTAAGACAGGATATCAAAATGTACTAAATAAGGCATCATTGGTCAACGAAGTTGTAGACAAATAATTCTGCAATTTGTAATGAAGAAACTATATTCGTATTGATTGCTGTTTACACAATCTATATTTCGTACACAACAATTTGCCTACCTTTAGATATACAGTCCCCATTACTTACCAATCAATAGTGCAACAGTTAATCAAAGACGGGTACATTCGAATACGCTCCTTAAATGATTCGCCAATGGGTGAAAATGCCAATGCCACATGCAATTGTTCACGTACACGTTCAATATAAAAAGCGTTCATTTCACTTGGTATTGATTCGATATTTTTACCCTTTGATTATAACCATTTAGGTATCAGATATAAACACGTTTTATTTGCAGTTTAGAAAATAGGCAGGAGATTGCAGTTCCGTTGCCATGATATGAATTTAGAATTGATTTTAGCATAATTAGTGAAAGAATTTGGTATTAACTCCAAATCATATTGCACAAAGACAAACCAATTACAGTGAGTAGTAATCAATATTCAACGATATACATACGGATATTCAACATGCCCATTCCAAATATATTTAAAAATTGTACCGCAAATTAGGAAATTGTGTGTGTGTGAGTGAGCGTTATGGCACAACCAGGCAGCATTGATTTTATGATAGAGAGAACAAACATAAATATTATCCAGAACGCGATGGGTGATTTTGGGAACGTATGATGTGTGATTTGTGGTAAACGGAAATAAAATAAATTGAATTTGGGTAAGAACATCATTTTACAGAACCAATATATTCCAATAATATTCATTTACCAGCTGTTTGGCTATATTGGTCATGTTCTCCATTATGGTTGCCTTGTCTTCCAATTGATAGAGGTTGGGTAAATCACCACAATTTAGTATTCCATTGATATCTTCGATGTAGCCTTCATCAGTTGCCTGTAAAAGTAATAAGACGAGTAATTGGCCAAACATTATTGAAGAAAAATTACAGATATTGTTTAAAAATATGCTACAAAATTTAAAAATATGACGGGAAAAATTGTAAAAAAAAATAATATTGAGAAATTTGTTTCCAGGTTATAGTCAGATCAATATTTCTAAATTTTTATGCATAATTTTTTGTAATAATTGTTTAGTGAACCAGGGGAACTCATACCGATATTGATAACACATGTGTATAAAATCATCAAAATACTGCAATTTAGAGGGCACAGTTATATTTGGAACTATACGTGATGGAGGACCAATAATGAATACATACTGTAGGAATTCTCGAACATTTAGAGTTATAATTATATGAGGTGCTATGCCTAATTAAAGACCAATAAATATCAATTTCGAACCTAAAATGTTCCCTTTGTATTACAATACACGGCAGATATCATTATTTGGGGATAGGACTAAATTCATACTCGACCCTGACATTCTAGTTATACCCTCCACCATAGTATGGAGGGTATATTAATTTTGTCATTCCGTTTGTAACTCATCGAAATATTCATTTCCGACCCTATAAAGTATATACATTCTTGATCAGGGTAAAATTCTAAGACGATCTAGCCATGTCCGTCCGTCTGTTGTAATCACGCTATCTTCTGAAGGAATTGAGATAGGGTGCTGAAATTTTGCATAGGGTTGTCTTTTGTCTGCAGGCAGGTCAAGTTCGAAGATGGGATATATCGGTCCACGTTTAGGTATAGCTCCCATATAACAGTACCTCCCAATTTTCGGTATTTTGGGGTTCTTGAGTTCGTTTTTCAACCGAATACGCGGAAAATTGGTACATTGAGTTCTTATGGGGTACTAAATGTCTCCACAAAAAATTATAAATATAGGTCAACTTTTTCTGGTAGCCCCCATATAACGGTACCTCCTAATTTTCAGTATTTTGGGGATTTTGATCGTATTTTTCCACCGAATTGCCGGTAATTTAGTATTTTGAGTTCTTAATAGGTACCAAGTCTCTCTACAAAAAATTATGTATATAGGTACATTTTTTCGGATAGCCCCCATATAAGGGTACCCCCAATTTTCGGTACATTGGGGTTCTTGAGCGCGATTTTCAACCGAATACGCTGAAATTTAATACATTGGGTTCTTAATAGGTACAAAATCTCTCCACAAAAAATTATAAATACAGGTCAATTTTTTCGTATATCCCCCATATACGGGTACCACCCAATTTTCGGTATTTTTGGGTTCTTGAGCGCGTTTTTTTAACGAATACGCTGAAATTTGGTACATTGAGTTCTTAATAGTTTCCAAATCTCTCCACAAAATATTATGAATATAGGTCCATTTTTTGGATAGCCCTCATATAAGGGTACCCCCAATTTTCGGTATTTTGGGGTTCTTGAGCGCGTTTTCCAACCGAATTTGCTGCAATTTGGTATTTTGTAGTCGTATATGGTAACAAATCTCCCTACCAAAAATTATTAATATTCACCCCCTTTTTGGGGTAGTCCCCATATAACCCCCTTTTTATAACCTTCACCACACTGTGGTACAGGGTTTTATGTCTTTGTGCATATGTTTGTAACAGGCAAAAATAATCGAGTAAGACCCATTATTCCTTTTGAGAATATGCATAGAATCACTTTCTGAGTCGATTTATGCATGTCCGTCTGTCCGTCCGTCCGTCTGTCCATGTTAAATTGTAAACAAAGTACAGGTCGCATTTATGATCCGAATTAGATGAAATTTGGCATAGGTCACTTATTCGGCCCAAGGACGAACCTTATTGAAATTGGGAAAAATCAGTTCAGATTTAGATATAGCTCCCATATATATATTTAGCCGATTTAATGTGAACGGTCCCTATATATCTTTCGATTTGCACGAAATTTGGTACAGCCTGCTCATTTAGGTTTAGAATAATGTCTGCCAAGTTTCGTGAAAATCGGTCCAGATTTAGATATAGCTCCCATATAGAGTTTCGTCCGATTTCGTGTAAATGGTGCACCAAAATCCCTATATATCTTTCGATTTGCACCAAATTTGGCATAACGTACTGGCTTGGGCCTAGAATTATTTCTGCCAAGTTTCGTGAAAATCGGTTCAGATTTAGATATAGCTTCCATATATAGTTTCGTCCGATTTCATGTAAATGGTGCCCCAAAGTCCCTATATATCTTTCAATTTGCACGAAATTTGGCATAACGTACTGAATTAAGCCTAGAATGATGTCTGCCAAGTTTCGGGTAAATCGGCCCAGATTTAGATATAGCTCCCATATACAGTTTCGTCCGATTTCATGTAAATGGTGCACCAAAGTCGCTATATATCTTTCGATTTGCTCGAAATTTGGCATGACGTACTGAATTGAGTCTAGAATGGTGTGTGTTAAGTTTCGTGAAAATCGGTCCAGATTAAGATATAGCTTCCATAATAGTTTCGTCCGATTTCATGTAAATGGTGCACCAAAGTCCCTATATATCTTTCGATTTGCACGAAATTTGGCATAACGTACTGAATTAAGCCTAGAGTGATGTCTGCCAAGTTTCCAGAAAATCGGTCCAGATTTAGATATAGCTCCCATATATAGTTTCGTCCGATTTCATGTAAATGGTGCCCCAAAGTCCCTATATATCTTTCGATTTGCACGATTGACATCAAATTTTGCACAACTTACAAAATTGAGCATAGTTGCGTTTTCTAGATGTACAGACATAGCCCAACGGATGACCTATTTATATTTGTTTGAAGTCGATTTACATACTTTATGGATAGATCTAGGTAGATTCACATATGGATAAATATCACGTATTTTATTTCATCCAATTTCATGTTAATAGTCCTGTTTAATATACCCATAGTGGTGAAGGGTATCATATAGTCGGCCCCGTCCGACTTTACTACTTTCCTTACTGGTTTATATTAAAATAGTTATCTGATTTGTTGCGCGTTTTGTGTTTGGTTCTAAGACCCTTTTGTAATCATTTCAACTGCGGAGGATAGAGAGATAAAAAATTAGAACGTAAGGTTCGGTAGTGAACTATAGCCGCATTTAGACCTAGCCCCTGATTGGAGGTTCCAGAAGGATTGGACCGATATTCCCCATCTTCGAATTTGAACTAAGCTTGGAAGAAATAATAAGATGGGCAAAGTTCGGATGAAATCTAAATTTTCTGAAACGGATTTGGTCCAAAGAGACATGGGGTCTAGAACCAATATTTCGATGAGGCACATTTTCATCGTGTTAAAGTGTATACACCCTCATTAGCCATAAGGCTGAGGGTATAAATATCCTTTAAAATTTTCTAAAATTTGTATTATGGTTTACATAATCCGTTTTTAGAAATGTCGGTATAGGTCCACTTTCTGGTATGTTTCCTATATTTTCATTTATAGTACCTGTCAATATAACTATGGTGGAGGGTATCCAAAGTTCGGCCCGGCCGAACTTACCGCTTGTTTACCTGTTTTTATCCTGATATCTCCCAAAGGTAGAATGATTAAAACACATGGCCAAATCGACTAAATGGTCATAGAATCTCATATTTGTTAGATTTACAGTATACAGAATACCAACATTTATGGTGGAATGGAGACAAACCCAGAACGCGTAAAAACTATGTAACTATTTGAATATAATGTAATATGGGGGCGTATATGGGGGCTACCAGTACAAAAAGGGGCCTATCTTTATTATTTTTGATTGGAGAAATTTCAGCGAATTTGGCGAATCCTTATGTGGGGGCTATGCCTATATGTGAACCTATATAGCTCATCTTCGAACTTGACCGATTGTATGTGTTTTCAAGACGCATCTTATGGTGAAGGATATAAACAGTTATGTTCGACCGAACTTAACAGCGTTATTACAGATATCATTACAATATTTCAATTGTCCAATTGTTTTTTATAAAGAAGTTTCGTCTACATGATAACATTAATATAAATTTACTTAAAATCCGATTCCTGGAAACAATGGTACACATTGATAAAAATATCATAGTTTCCAGGAATGGGATTTTACGCACATTTAAAAGAAAATCCATTCATGACAATTCTCTGACATACATCTACAACAGTTACGTTGCGACTAGAATACATAAATAGTACCTTGTCATCGACCGATGACTGAGTCTTACCTGCGAATCGGAAAATAGGAAAACCGTATGATTCATACTGAATCCTGATGACATCAATATCTTTTTCAGATCATCTCTCCAATCTTGTTGGGTGTACGTTTTTGTCACTTGCACCGTCATCAACTTGCAATCAGCAATGTGGGCTGCAAGCCTACACGAACTGCGACGCCCAGAGCCACCCATACCAACCATCAAAATGTTGCCACGTGGCATTTGCAGAACTCGTGAAACTCTGCAAGAAATGTCGGATAACGAGAAGGGGGAAAACGGTATGAATAATCAAAGAAGGATTTTTTCAATTGAACACAATGCAGTTGTAGGGAAATACAATGCAAATATGAAATACATGAATCCATTTGTACATACAAACATTTGTTTCTCGTCTCGAATAAATGTCATTGCTTATTTTGGTGTAACACTTACCTCGATATGTGCTCAATGGCAAAGCGGAACAATACCAAATCCATGGGTGTGCTCGAAAAGCCATTGTAGTCACGTAAATAATAATGCATTAGCTTCTCCAATTTGTTGTAGTTTTCGCATTCGTCGTAAATTTTCGGTTCGGCATCTGGTTCGAGATAATTGCCAAAAAATAAATTGCGCAAGTCGTTATCTGTCAATTTGCCAGCAGGATTTTCCATGCGGTCTTTAAATGCAGACTCCAGAGAGAAGCGTAAATTAGTTTTACACGCACCAACTACCATCTCGAGTAGTTGATCACGGTCACGTTGATCAATTAAACTGCAAAAAATGGTAAAAAATGAGTACACAATTTGTAAACAATAGTTTGAGACCAATTTGTCAACATTTATTGTATGGGACATTATCACAATATCCATATCTACACCACCTTTAAAAATAAATTAACAAACTCAATTACAAATCAACTAAAATGCGTGTACCCTTTACAAAATTTCGATTGTCTTTCTATCAAGTATTTAGTTCTTATAACGACTACATATAAAAAAATTAAAAAGCTCCATAAAAATCTAAATAGTTTTCAAGGCTAAATTAGAGATCGTAAACATATTTTAGGCAATGATTAATAAAAACCAGTAAGGAAAGTAGTAAAGTCGGACGGGGCCGACTTTGGGTATATTCAATCTTAACAGACGTCGCATTTTTGAAGGAACAGTAAAGTGAAATTGGACCCATCAACATGTCTTTCTGCAACCTATACTAAATTTTTCATTTGGTCAGATATAGAGTTGCTCCTTACAAAGCGACAAAATTATGTAAATCAATTTAAAGCAAATATCAATCGGACACCCCTTGATTATTTGGATACATATCTAATAAACATGAGAAGTTTGGTGCACCACAGCATATCGGCCACATATTGAGTATTTGGTGCATCATTTACCAAAAATCGGGGAATATATATATATATATATATATAGTAGCTCCATTCAAATTTGAACCGATTTCAATTTCAACTTTCTCCATGCTAGGTTACATAAACTTCAGTACGCTATGCAAAATTTTGTGTCAATCGGCCTAACTCTGGGTCTTTGATGCACCTTTTACTTAAAATTGGAGGAAACTATAGGAGCTATATCTAAATCTGAACAGATTTCAACAAAACTTGCCACACCTTATGTTATAATAATTTCAATAAGTTGTGCAAAATTTTGAGCCAATCGGACCTACCTAGGGAGTTTGATGCAGCATTTATATCTAACTTCTAGGTTATACCAAGTTCAATACGAAAGATATATATGGATTTTGGTGCACCATTTCCATTAATCGGACGAAAATATATATGGGAGCTATATCCAAATCTAGACCGATTTTCAGGAAACAACACACATCATTCTAGACCCAATCCATTGCGCTGGGCCAAAACTCGTGCAAATCGAAAGATATATAGGGACTTTGGTACACCATTTACCTTATATCGGACGAAAATATATATAATAAAGCTGAACCGATTTTCATGAAACTTAACACACATCATTTTAGATTTAATTCATTACGCTGTGCCAAATTTCAATAGGGTTCGTCCTTGGGCCAAATTTGGCCAAATTTCATCCAATTCGGATCATAAATGCGACCTTTACTTTGTTTAAAATTTAACCTGGACAGACAGACGGACGGACGTCTGCGACTTATATAGTGATTGTATGCATATGTTAACTAGTAAGGAAAGTGGTAAAGTCGGACGGGGCCGACTATATGATACCCTTCACCACTTTGGGTAAATTCAACAGATGAATCTTAACAGACGTCGCATTTTTGATTTTCACGAAACTTAACACACATCATTCTAGACTTTATTCAGTACGCTGTACCAAATTTCGTGCAAATCGAAAGATAATTAGGGACATTGGTGCACCATTTACCTTAAATCGGACGAAAATTTATATGGGAGCTATATATAAATCTGAACCGATTTTTATGAAACTTAGCACACACCATTCTAGGCTTAATTAAGTACGCTGTGCCAAATTTCGTGCAAATCAAAAGATATATAGGGACTTTGGTGCACCATTTACCTTAAATCGGACGAAAATATATATGGGAGCTATATATAAATCTGAACCGATTTTTATCAATTTCAATAGGGTTCGACCTTGGGCCAAATAAGTGACGTATGCCAAATTTCATCCAATTCGGATAATAAATGCGACCTGCACTTTTTTTACAATTTAACATGGACAGACAGACGGACGGACAGACGGACGGACGGACGGACATGCATAAATCGACTTAAAAAGTGATTATATGCATATTCTCAAAAGGAACCATGGGTCTATCTTGATTCCTTTTGCCTGTTACAACCATATGCACAAAGACATAATACCCTGTACCACAGTGTGTTGAAGGGTGTAAAAAGGAACCATGTGTCTATATCGTTTCCTGTTGCAAACATATGCACAAAGACATAATACCCTGCACCACAGTGCTGTGAACAATTTTCCTTCTTCTCTAAGCCTTCAAATAATCTATGCAAATTTCCAAGTCTTTATCATAATTTTGAAATCTATAGTCCCTAATGCTAACCCCATTATTAGGTATTTTTTGCCTGGTGTTTTAACCGGCTCTAAATTGGTAATCATTGGATGTCAAATCTTCCTAGCAAAAATGTACTATCACACAGCCGGCCATTTAAAGGTCCAGAACAATTACTGGTATTATAAGTTCCATCTCTTAGTGGTCCTAAATGAGTGGTATAGAAAATTGGATCCGAGCAAATATAGTTTTTCCTGGTTTTAATTTAAAGTGCCACTCTCTGAAAGTTATGGGCTATAAAAAAAACAACATCGACATCTGCAGAATACGCAACAAAAATGTGGAATAAATAATGTTCGTCGTTGTTGTTTTTTTATTATACCCTTCACCACACTGTGTATTATGTCTTTGTGCATATGTTTGTAACAGGCAAAAGGAAACGAGATAGACACATGGTTCATTTTGAGAATATGCATAGAATCACTTTCTGAGTCGATTTACGCATGTCCGTCTGTCCGTCCATGTATTTTTGTGAACAAAGTACAGGTCGCATTTATGATCCGATTTGGATGAAATTTGGCATAGGCAACTTATTTGGCCCAAGGACGAACCCTATTGAAATTGGGAAAAATCGGTTCAGATTTAGATATAGGTCGCACATATATATTTTCGTCCGATTTAATGTAAATGGTGCACCAAAGTCCCTTGATATCTATCGATTTGCACGAAATTTAAGTCTAGAATGATGTGTGCTGAGTTTCATTAAAATCGGTTTAGATTTAGATATAGCTCCCATATATAGTTTCGTCCGATTTTACGTAAATTGTGTACCAAAGTCCCTATATATCATTCGATTCGTAGGAAATTTGGCAAAGCGTTGCGTATTAGGTGCAGAATGATGTGTGCTGAGTTTGGTAAAAATCGTTTCAGATTTAGATATAGCTCCCATATATAGTTTCGTCCGATTTAATGTAAATGGTGCACCATTTACGATTCGCGCGAAATTTGGCAGAGTGTTCTGTATTAGGTGCAGAATGATGTGTGCTGAGTTTGGTGAAAATCGGTTCAGATTTAGATATACCTCCCAGATATATTTTCGTCCGATTTAATGTAAATGGTCCACCAAAGTCCCTATATATTTTTCGATTTCGACGAAATATAGCATATCGTATTCAATTAAGTCTAGAATGATGTGTGCTAAGTTTCGTGAAAATCGGTTCAGATTTAGATATAGCTTCCATATATATTTTAAGGTAAATGGTGTACCAAAGTCCCTTAATATTTTTCGGTTTGCACGAAATTTGGCACCGCGTAATGAATTAAGTCTAGAATGATGTGTGTTAAATTTCCTGAAATCGGTTCAGATTTAGATATAGCTTCTATATAGCTTAGTATAGGTTGCAGGATGACATGTTTATGGATCCAATTTCATTTTGATGGTCCCTTTAAAATGCGACGTCTGTTAGGATTCATCTGTTGAATATACCCAAAGTGGTGAAGGGTATCATATAGTCGGCCCCGTCCGACTTTACTACTTTCCTTACTGTTTATTATTTATTCAAACAGAAAGGTGGTGTCAGACAACACCAAACAAACATAAATATGAATGTATATGCGAGGAATACATACATATAACAAATATAGATGTATACAAACGAACAATACAACAGCCGTGAGGCAAAAAATCAATGTCCTCTTAATTGAACTAAATTGGCGTCCAGACTTTTGCATATCGAAGTTAATGTACATTTTTATTAGGTTGTCCGCAAACTACCAAATTACAGATATTCAGTTTGGAAAATTGAGTTAGGAACTTGAAATACCGAATAAAGAATTATGAATTGCCAGATAACTGCCAATTTCTGGTAGGAAGATTTGTCAACCAATTAAAAACGTGTATATAATCCTCAAAAGAACAGATATAAAGGAATGTCACTTTATGACTAGAGTATCTGATCATGAGCCAATATTGGTAATATTTACTATGAAAGATTTACCTTCCAATAAATTAGTACACTCTTATAATAATAATATTGCATCACATACAGTTTCATATAGAATATAGCACAACTATAACAAGTTTTGTATAAAGTTTTGTAAAAAACATTTTTTAAAATATCTTAATACTAGCATATGCGCGCTATTTCCTTAGCGAATGTGGTAACACAATCCATGATTCGAGCTTTAATGGTTCACCTAAATCCAAATGTAGTTCCATAAAATTACCGTCGGAGTGTAGGAATGGGATAATTGGTACAATTTGGATTTGGGTGAACCGATAGAGCGGGAACAATACAATTTGGAGTTAGGATCACTGTAGGGGTGTAGCATTGGGGTCAGGATTCAGTTTAAGAAGGTAATACTAAATGGTACTAAATTTGGTACAATCTGAATTGTGGGTGAACCGATAGAGATGGAATCCTGAAATTTTGATTTAGGAACACAGAGGAGGTGTAAGATTGGGGTATATAGGAAGTTTTGGAAAATGGTACTACTATGTACTAAATTTAGTACAATTTTAATTGTGGGTGAATCGATAGAGTTGGAATCCTGAAACTTGGGGTTTTGATCAATGTGGGGTGAAGGTTTGGGTGTACTAAATTTATTACAATTTGAATTGTGGGAGAACCGATAGAGTTGGAACCCTGAAATTTTGGTTTAGAAACAATGTGGAGGTGTATGATTGGGGTATGTAGGAGGTTTTTGAAGTTCGTACTACTGTGTACTAAATTTGGTGCAATTTAAATTGTGGGTGAACCGATACAGTTGGAATCCTGAAACTTGAATTTATGATCACTGTAGGAGTGTAGGTTTGGGGTAATTATGAGGTTTTGGAAATTCGTACAACTGTGTACTAAATTTGGTACAATTTGAATTGTGGGTTAACCGATAGAGTTGGAATCCTGAATCATGGATTAGGATTACTGTGGGGTGTAAATTTGGGTTGAGTAGGCAGTTTTGAAATTCGTACTACTGTGTACTAAATTTGGTACAATTTAAATTGAACCAATATAGTTGGAGTCCTGAAATTTGAATTTGTAATCGTTGTGGGGTTTTAGGATCGGGGTATGCAGGAAGGTTTGTTGGATGGTTGAGGTGGGTACTTATGGAAATAATGTGTGCTAAATGGAACTAAATTTGGTTAAATTTGGATTTAGGTGAACCTTTAGAGCTCGAATCATGAATTTTGGTACTAAATAGTACTCAAATTTAATTTACTGTTGATATTAATGTGTAGATTGCTCAGTTTTTCTAACATATGCAGTTTTCTGTTAAAAAAATAATAATAATAATAATTCTTAAATATTTCCCACATTCACTAACGAAGTAGCGGGCATATGCTAGTACTTTAAAAATTCCCGAGTTAAAAAGGGGGTGAACCACTGCTTCAGCTATGATAAAAAAATTGACAATATGGCGACACCATTATATGGGGGCTACCCGGAAATCTTAGACCAATATTAATAATTTTTTGTAGAGACACTTTCTACTCAATGAGAATACAAAATATAATATTACAGCTATTTTGTATGAAACTTAAAAAATTATCAATCTCGGTTGAGGTGTAGCTCCCATATAACCAAAAATCAATAATATGGTCCCGTTGCATTTTACAAATATTTTCCGATGGAAAAATTCGTCAAAAAATGTTCAGATTATTAGCATGTAAAAACGCATAACATACTGCTATTATTTTGTTCGCTGCATGTACCTGTATAAGCTATTATGTATATACACATACATAATAGCTATGTAACTATTGTAGGAGTTTACCTACGAAATTGGAATAGTGAAAACATACATGGATGCATATATACGTACCGGTCATAAAAAACACGATATGTTTCATGAGCCCACAAACGTCCTAGTTTTTCTGGATCATGGAGACGTTTTGCTGGCACCAATACAATACCCTGAAACACACGGGTGATATCACGTAGTGAAAATGTATAATGGGATTTGGCAGGAGTTGGTAAAAATATTCTCATCGCTGAACAATAAACACTGACCATTGCTTCAGCCAGACCCTGGTTATTGACGGCGATTATTGTTTTTGTTGTCATTTGATTTCCATTTCAAGCATATATGCATTTGTAATCGGTGTTTTTGTTGTTGTTGTTTTTATTGTGGAGTTGGCAAACACATGAAACGAGAAAAAATGGGAAGCAATATAAAATCACATAAAACTTTTGCTGGTGAATTTTGTAGGAAAAAATGAAAAAAAAAACGTTGTAAGTTAATAGGTGTATTTTGTGTGTTGTGAAGTTATATCAGGTGTGTATGTGTGTGTTTTGTAAAGTTATATCAGGTATTTAAAGAGGCAACAGATATGCCTGGCAGGAAAATATAAAACGAAATGTATATAAAAGTAGACGACATTAAAATATACACTTTGAGAAAAAAATATAGCTAGTGTGTTGCCCAAAGCCTTCAGTGAGGTCCACTGAGAACATACACACAATTGCAATTTAGGAATGTTTGGCATGAAGTATTTACGCACCTTAGATTTCAGGCCAAGCCCACAACTTTCGATATGATCAGAAAGCCAAATTTCGTGCAAATCGAAAGAGATACAGGGACTTTGGTGCCTCATTTACCTTAAATCGTACGAAAATATATATGGGAGCCATATCTAAATCTGACCTGATTTTCTCGAAACTTGGCACTCATTATTTTAGCCACAATTCAGTACACTATGCAGATCTCGCGCAAATCGAATGATATATAGGGGCTTTGGTGCACCATTTACATAAAATCGGACGAAAATATATATGAGAGCTATATCTAAATCGTCCTTGGGCCAAATTAGTGAACTGTGCCAAATTTCAGAGACATAATACCCTGTACCACAGTGTGGTGAAGGGAATAATTACACAAGTGTGTGTAGCGGTTTGTAAAATACATCGACAACAAAACAAGATATTGAGGAAAATTATTTGTTTTTGATTCGAAGAAATAATGTCATCATTATTATTTTTTCAATTTTATAGAAGAAATTTCAGAAAAAAAATGTCGAGGTTATTCTTCTGTTTTACCCGAATTTCACCGAAAAATTAACATATCACTTCTTCAGTATAAGTATACACCTTGTGGATTCTGGCAACCTCCTTCCGATAAATCTTGGGGTTCGATAAATAGGAATAAATCTTAAAATAAAACTACATTATGAAATATACATTTTAAAGTGCGTCTAAATCGCGTAATTCTCAAAATCATTTGATGTACATGCGGTTTCCAGGAAGTACTGAAGTTTATCTTCCAATCCATATATATTTTGCGAAATTTCATTTGACGGCTAAGATGTGCTACATGTTGCATTGAAGTACCCAAAAACTCGTAAAACGCGAAAATTTCTGAAAAATCCATATGCCATTAACGCGCATCCGATTTCGGTGTGCTTCTAAAAAATATCGATCTATACTCACATCAATGCGGTCCATGGATGACCCAGAACACACTATTTTTGACATAAATTGGGTACATCTCTCATTCGGCTGAAGTTTTTAAAGTTATGTTTTCTCAAAAGTTCAAAATCCGTATGAGGTCATTTATTGAAACGGAAATGACCCACAGAAAATTCAACTATATATCCGCGATATTTTCAAAAACATTTTTTGCCAAATTTCGTGTTTTTGGATGGCCAGTTCCCGTCGAAATAAAAAAACCTTACTGATCGCGTGTAACCATATCATGCAATTGACAGATCTAAAAATTTTCCCCGAAAAATATGTTTTTTAGAAATTTGATCGCACAAATTGTTCACCTTTGGATGAGTATTACTCTGAAGCTGTGCATACTATATACACAAAATATATATCAAATAACTCAGATTTGCGACTACAATAATCTTGTAATCGATTTTCAGAAATTGCGTGATTGCGTATTGAAACTAGAAGTAAAATTCAAGTAAAACATTTGTAGGTTGGTGCAGATAAAATTTTGAAAAATGATACATAAGAGACGTAGTCCTCATTTTGTAGTCTTCTAGTTTTACTTTGACACGAATACCGTGAAATGAGTGAGTGGCATAGTCACAAATCGATAGGGAACATACAAAAACTGGTCTGTTTCAACATTGTTTTACATTAAAGTACACACAGCTTCCACCCAAATAAAGTTTGGAGCTCAATTTCATGAAAAGTTTGCAACGACAGATCAATTAACCCAAAACTATTCACATTTGTATATCCTACACCACACTGTGGTACAGGGTATTATGTCCTTGTGTATATGTTTGTAACAGGCAAACGAAAACGAGATATCCATGGTTCCTTGTTTGTAAATGTAAGAATAAATTCACAAAGTCCGATTGGGACAAAATTTTTCAAATTTGTTTTTTGTTTTAATTCGAATAATTCTAGAATGTCCCTACAAAATTTCAAGTGAAAATCTCAAGAACTCTTTAAGATAGCCGATTTATTGAATCTCTTTTTAAACTAAATGACAGGCACGATAACTCAAAAACTAATAATCGATTTATTGTTTATTTATTGTTTCAAATTAAATAGGCGATCTCTAAGTCAATAATCCTAGTTCGTACAAGAGCCAGACATGCACTCGTTCTAACACAGTTGGAATTTTTGGATGATTTAGATTTTTTTGTAAATTATTTTTCTTCCTTTTTAATTCAAAAATTGGAACTCAAAATTATATATGTAATATATATTTAAAGCCATGTTTGAATGAAAATCTATCTAAAACAATATACCTTGGTTTTCCTTTGGTATAACATCAATTAAACATTGATTTTATTTTATATTATTTAAGTGTATAAATAATTTTGAGTTTCTACATCCAGATCAGATCCATATAGACTAATTTAAACCAAAAAACCCGTACGATAGTCTAATTCTTTAATGAATTACATAGGTAACTTTGGATGGGTACAAATGGTTATTGATCAACGTATATTTTTTTGGTTATTGACCGAAGTCCGAAGATGGGCTCTACGGCTCACTCCTTCTTATACCTCACCCACAAAGTGTCTGAGCATTTTTTAATTCAATATCACACGAATGGAATGTCCGATGTTATCCAAATATACAAATCATGTCCGAAGATAGGACTCATCGATCCATTCCTTCTGGTATCTACTCCACTTGTGGGGATCAATGATCCAATTATTCAATCAACTATATGATCAAAACATGTATAGTAATTCCGTAGACCTCCGCAAACCTCATCTGTCTGTATGGGGTCTCCGACGATTATTTCGAGGCGTTGCAAACGGAACAAGATATTTGATTTTGACTCCACCTTATGATAAAAGCTATAAAAATACATGGCCTAGATCAATACATTACCCATAAGAAATCCGAAAGTTTTTTTTTTATATATATATAGTCAAATATGTCGATCTCTAGGTGATTTCAATGCGAAAATGATGCCATCATGCAAAAATATAATGTATTTAAAATAATTTTTGCTATCGTCATTTTGTAACAACTTACCAACGAGAATAAAGCCGTCACAAAAAAGTTACAGGCCTTCAGTTTGTAAACACTCTTACACACAACATTTTTTGTAGATAAATAAAATTTAACATTAACATACTCGTACACTGAATATGTGGATATTTACATACCCTTGAGAGCAATGCCACCTTATCAGGATAGCCCTTGGAAAAATGCCAATCGCCGATTGCTGTAAATATTTTGATTATGGTAGCATCCTCGAACGAATCCACACCCACAACGAATGTATGACGGTAGAAACGTGGAAATATGAAATTACTGCCGCCTGGCATACACATTGCACCGATAAAACACTAGAAATAGAACAAAAGGATAAAGGGGTGAAATAGAGACTACAATGCAAAAATGTAGACACATAAAAACTAAACATTTTTCATATTCACTCCACATGTTGCAATCCGAAGTTACCACCTAAATATACGCCCTGTAGCCGTTTTATTGTACATCCTTAAAGTTCCGGTATAGCCTTGGGACTTTGCATTTTAACAGTTTGTTTATAATTTTACATAAACAAACGGAGGGAAGGTCGGATGGACGTACATAAATCGACTCAGAAAGTGATTGTATGCATATTCTCAAAATAAACTATTGGTCCACATCCTTCCCTTTGTATGTTACAAACATGTGCCCGAATACATAATACCCAGTACCACAGTATTCTGTAGAGTATAAATACCACAACATTTTAAATCAAACTTATCTCATATTCGTTCAAGCAGCATATGCTGTAGTTCACTTAACACCCGTTATCCACTATCAATGGAAACTAAAGGTATCAGAGTGCTCGGTACAAATTGACAGCAATGGATGAGAAAGTACTTCAGCATTCCCTTTCTATAATAGATTACACTGCCATAAATTTCAAAAAAATATCTCTTCATAAAATGTTTTCCCTGTCTACAAGCATGGCAACTCATACACATTTTTTGAATTTTATTTGGATATATGAAGCATTCTGGCATGTAAATGTAAAATTAACTAGTATTATACTTTAGATTTGGGGTTGGGACTTTTTCTATGAAATTATAAGTTTTCATTTTTAAAATTTCAAATATTTAAAATAACGTAATGCAATTGTAGCCCTTGGCAATAAAACAAATATTGTAAAAATTTAATAGAAAATATTTGCAAAGAAGAATTAATTAAACCAGTAAGGAAAGTAGTAAATTCGGACTGGGTCGACTATATGATACCCTTCACCACTTTGGGCATATTCTAAATATGTATCCTAACAATTGCATGTCAATGTTCCCTCTCAGAAACCTATGATAAATTTATATTCATTCAGGCAGGTTTAGACCATAGGACAAATTTATGGAAAACGATTTATAGCAAAATTTATGCACGATATTCGATACGCCGCACTGTTAAAAAATTTAATTTCAATCGGACACCCGTTCGAAATACATGTGGATGTTATGGCTGCATCTGCACCAATTTCAACAAAACTCAATAACGTCTTTCAAATCTCAGTTTGATACATTGTGCAATTTTCGTGATTATCAAACAAACATTAGGAGATTGGTGCACCACTTATGTAAAATCGGACGAATATATATGTATATGTGGAAGCTATATCGAAATCTAAACCGATTTTTCCGAAACTTACCACACATCATTCAAGACTCAATTCAGTACGCTATGCTAAACGAAGGATATATAGGGAAAACGCAAATCGAATGATATAAAGGGACTTTGGTGCACTATTTACCTAAAATCGGACGAAAATATATATATATATATATATATATATATATGGAAGCTATTTCTAAATATGAACCGATTTTCACAAAACTTAACACACATCACTCTAGGCTTCATTCAGTACTCTATGCCAAATTTCGTGCAAATCCAAGGATATTTATGGACTTTGGTGCACCATTTACGAAAAATCGGATGAAAATATATATGGGAGTTATATCTTAAACTGAACCGATTTCCACGAATCATATCACATATCACATCACTCTAGCCTTAATTTAGTACACTATACCAAATTTTGTGCAAATCGAAAGATATATAGGGACTTTGGGGCACCATTTACATAAAATCGGACGAAAATATATATGGGAGCTATATCGAAATCTGAACCGATTTTCCTGAAACTCGCCAATCATCATTGTAGACTCAATTCAGTACGCTATGTCAATATATATATAGAGATCACATATTGTAAGAATCGTAGCAGCATCTATTGTATATGACTAAGTGGTATCAGGTTATCCCATGGTAGTGGTATAAGTAGTTCGTCGCGGCTGAACTTAACGTAGTTGTTATATGTTTCCCAATAAAATTAATTATTTGAATTTATATTTATTTTAACAAAAATTCATATAAACAAATTTCAAATTAAATGAAATGTTTTTTCACACAAAAATAAAGAAATTCTAACATTGATTTGTACACAAATATTTCAATGTAAGTGATAACATAGTTTTCGAAGTTAGGTCGTAATTTGGTATTGAGGATTTTCATTAGATGTAGGAATATCAATATCTTTTTTATGATTCAAGCAATAGAAGAAACACGAACAAAATTTATTCTATTCAGAAGACTGTAGAGATTATTCAAAACCAATTGGGGAATTTGTAAAGTCGGACTGACCGACTATATGATACCCTTTACCATTTTGGTATATTCAACAGATGCATCCTTATAAATGTCGCATTTTCAAGGACCATTTTTCATTTGAACAGAGTCGTTTGTTTACAATGGAAAAAAGTATGAAAATCGATTTTACGCAAATCTCAATCGGACAACTTTTGATTATTTGGAGTTCAAATAACATGAAGTCGGTCGATTTTATATATATTGACTTTGTTTGAATTTCTACGTTGTACGCTGTGCAAAATTGCATGTCAATCTGACAAACATGACGAATTTTGTGCTCCATTTACTCAAAATCGGACAAAAATATGTATTGGAAGCTATATCCAGCTCTGAAACGATTTCAACAAAACTTGACACACATTAGTCTATACTAATTTCATTACGTTGTGCAATATTTTATTCCTATCGGCCATATTTATGGTCCTTGGTACATCATTTCCCTAAATGCGGACGAAAATGTATATGGGAGCTATATCAAAATTTGAAAAGATTGTAACAAAAATTGACACACTTCACACTATACTAATATTTATCCAAAAATCCACGCCTCAGAAAAATATTATTTTTTACAAAATTCCCGCCTCAGTTATAGTCCGTGGAAAAATATTATTTTTTATAAAATCCCCGCCTCGGATGTAGTCCGTGAAAAAAAAATATTTTTTAAAAAAAATCCGCGCCTCAGATAGTCCTGCACAAATTATTCTTTAAAAAATCCACGTCTCAGATAGTTATCGGAAAAATATTCTTTAAATCAAAAATACACGGACGATACTTTATATGTGACATCAGTAGGGTTCGTCCTAGGAACAAATAAATGAGCTGTGCCAAACTTTACCATATTATCGACTCAGAAAGTGATTCTAAGTGTATTCTCAAAAGGAACCATGGATCTACCTCGTTTCTTTTTGTCTGTTTCAAACATATGCACGAAGTGTAAAGAGTAAAAAATGTTTCTACTAAAATAGATCAGGGTAGCCCCAATATTCAGCACATTTTTCAACCTAATTAAAAATGTCGGTGTTTTCCTAATTCAAAATTTCGGCTACATACATTACATTTCGGATTTTCATTGAGTAGAAAATATATCTACGAAAAACAATAATATTCGTCCAATTTTCCGTGTAGCTACCATATAATGGTACACCATAAATGGATATGTTTACCAAACGAATTGTCCCTAATTTAATTTTTTAGGATCTCAAATCCTCCTATCAAAAGTTATCAATATGGGTTTACGATTTGATATAATTCCAATTTTCTGTATTTTGAAGGCTTTATCCGCATTTTGCCGCATTTAAGGTAACTGCTCAATTCTCAGTGTGTTGAAGGTTTTAGGCCCAATTTTCTATCGAAATGTTTCTAATTTCGATTTGATCGAAGAAGCTGTGATTTGGGACTTGCAAGTACATTTTAAAGAAAATATTTAATTTAATTTTCGCTATGTTAAATTTCCTAGCCTAGTTTTCCAACCTTAGTGTCTGCAATTTGGTATTTAATTTTTTTAATAGTATAAACAATTTGTTAGAAGACAATTTACAATTGTCTCCATGTAGATAAAGGTCTCGACTTTTTAAAATGTATGTATGTTGAGTGTACACCACGTTGGCAAACTTAACGCAACCTTGTGGCAATGTTTTACTTTTTAATAGTCATTTTTTGCGAGCATTCCCTTAATCCCGACTTGTTTGTTCTCAATCAATGTATTGTTAACCTTTTTGTCGTAGATTATTTAAAGTTTTCGCTAGTATAACTTTTTTTATCGGCATTTCTCTCTATTATTATGGCAACGGGAAAACTTTTTTAATAACATGAGAAACTCCAATGACAATAAAAAAAACCAAAAAAACGTTAGCAACTGGACCGGTCAACATCAGATATTGTAAAAGTTTTTACATGAAGGTGTGGTATTTCCGTAAAGTTTCAGAATAATATTAATCGGCTATCAATATATTACAAAAAAATGTTTCCGATTCGTGTGTTTTTTATGATAAGACTGACGGTGCTGCTTAAAACATCTGGTTCATTGTTAAGCCATACACAGCAAATTTTGCACATACATTGTTTTTATAGCTCAGATGTTTTTTTTTACGTTTTTGTGGCGTTATCCAACCGCGGGCTATAATTTGGCATTCTAATTTTTTGCGGGTCGACAAAGCACTTATTTACCGGACGCGTCCTATTTTCAGTATTTCGAATACTCTATGTAATTTTGTGTCCTTGTCTTGGTAAAGAACCCATAACATTGTCCACATTTTCGAACTTTTTGTGCAGAAGGAACTTTTCAACAATAACTCGTGTCCTCTGATTCTACAATTAACGTGGTAACCAACTAGGCAGTTTTTTGCAATGAGTTGTAGACTATTTTCACTCATGACAAAGTTCCTAATCCGGTCTCGTCAATTTTCTAATTTGCCATTCCAAGTTATTGGTAATGAAAAAACTTCCCCTTAAGAAATTTTTATAATTTAATATATAGTTAATTTTTTCCACATTGTGCATGTACCAGGTTTAAAATATAAGTACAAATTCTTGTATTTGAGTTTTGAATTTCATTGTTTTCTTCATTGCAGACACTTTCAACGACCGCTGCATTTGTGTAACATAATTCGCATGTGTATTTTCCAAATTATTTTGATATAAATGCTAAATAAATATAAAAGAACAAGTTTTGATAGGCCTAACC